ATACCTATTCAGTCTGTGTGCTGTGCAAATCGTTTGTGAAGATGGACTGTTTGAAGAGGCATGTGGCATCAAGATTGCAGGAAGACTCATCAAGAACCTGCATTATGCAGATGACACAGCCTTGCTTGCTGAAAATTAGGAGGAATTGAAATTCTTGCTGCAGAAGGTCAAGCTCTATGACCTTCTATATGGATTACTTCTCAACATCAGGAAGACAAGAATCCTACCTCTGGGCCAATAGGCAATGCCATTATAGTTGGAGAAAGGAATGGAAGGTGCTTGCATCAACAATGCATCAACAGCATTCAGGAGATGTATTGCATTGAGCACATCTGCTGTCAGGGATCTCAACAAAATACTGAAAAGCAATGAATTATGGTCTTGGTCCCTCCAAGGAATAGCCTCTTCTAGAAACATGCCCAAAGTATGCGAAAGTATATTGCCTCCAGTATGGATTGCATCCCAACATCAAGAAGACACAAATTCTTACCACTGGACTAGTAGGCAACATCATGATAGATGAGAAAAGATTGAAGCTGTCAACTATTTCATGTGTCTTGAATCCTCAGTCAACATCCTCGGTACCAGCAGTCAGGAAATTAGGAGCCGTAGTGCACTGGGAAAGCTTGCAGTCAGGGACTTCTCTGAATTATTGAGGAACAATGATGTCAGTTTGAGGACTAAGGTGCATCTGATTCAGTCCATGGTCTTTTTAGTCACTTGCTATACAGGCTGCTCCTTGGAGGCAAGGAGCTTCTGAAGCTTTGTCTGACTTATTTTGGACATGTTGCAAGGAGGGACCAATTCTTGGAGAGGGACGTCATGCTTGGTAGGGTGGAGGGACGGCGCAGGAGAGAAAGACCTTCTATGAGGTGGATTGATTCAGTGACTGGGTTAATGGGGGTAGGTGTATCGGAGACAGTGAGATTAGCACAGGGTAGAGCAGAGTTTAGGACTGTTATACATAGGGCCGCTCTGAGTTGGCGGTAACTCGACAGCACATAACAGCAGCAACATGCATCTGAGAGCTGGATAATTAATAAGGATGACAGAAGAATTAATGCCTTTGAACTGTGATTTTAGAGACGGATGTTGAACGTCCCATGGTCTGTCAAAAGAATAAGAGATATGACTTGGAGAAAGAGCAGCCAGAGTGCTCCTTGGAGACAAAGATGATAAAGCTTCCTTTCACATACTTGGGACATGTTGCTAGGGGAGGCTATTCCTTGGAGAGAGACCAGCACCATAATTCTTCATTACATTGTTAGTACTATTATTTTCAAATTAGGCATGTCACTACAGTGTATTTCTTTTCCTTTCATTGCGATTTGAGTGAAATTTTACAAATCATACTGGCTTCATTAAAAACACACTGTTTTATAACATTGCTTAGCATTAATGTCATTAATTACATGATCTGTCAAACCCTTTTCACGAGACTTGGGGACTGGAGTCTCCCCTCCACCCTGGAAGTTAGCTGGCTAACTGGCGGGATGGCTGGCATCTCGATGGTGGCTTGACTTGGTGGCATTCAAGGCAAGGGAAGTTTCTGGGGTCCTTTTCGCTGTGTGTTAGTGTTCTTTTTACCCTTAAAAAGTGGGTGAGCGGCCCAGAGCCTTAGACTAAGGGGAAGTAAGGGCAGAGCCTGTGGAGTTTGCTCCAGGGGGTATCTTAAAATCCGTTAGGGCCCTTGGGCCTGTCTTTAATTGTTTTTTGATGAAACATTCTTCAAAGTCATATAGTCCTATCCTGTCCACTTGCTGTACAGAGAGGAAACTCGTGGTTTCTGTGAAGCAGAACACTGTGACACTGACATGTCAGATGTGAGAAAGGTTACCAATGGTGGACAGTGTTTGGTGGATCTCCCCGATTAAAACAAGCTTGGAAGCAGGAGTGGCATCCACTTCCAAAACAGCTCGCCTCTGGAAACCCTGTGACCCTGGAGAAAGGATGAAAGCTATACAAGTATTCAGGTCTTTCATTCATATGGTCACTACGAGTCGTATACAACTCGATGGCACTTAACAACATCAACAACATCAAACAAACCCTTATTGTGTGTTGCCTTTCCCTTCACCAAAATTAATATATATTATCTATCTATCTATTTATTTTTATACCTGTCTACCTCCCTTTCCACCCCTGGTAAAAATCCTGGAAAACCTGGCGGTGCATTTCTCTGTACGTGCTGCAGCTCTTGTTTTTAGAATGTATACCTAGTTGTGGGATTGCTAGATCAAATGACATTTCTGTTTACAACTTTTAAAGGAAGCACCAAACTGCTAGTTACACTATTTTACAATCTCACCAGCCAGTGTGGGAGTGTTCATCTTCCAGCCCCTTGCCAGCATTTGTTGTTTGCTGTCCTGTTGAGTTGATACCCCATTGTTGTTTTTATTTATATCTTATAAAGATAAGCCATTGCCAGATATTGTCTGTAGTGTACTATTGGAGAAATATTTTGATACACATAAAACTTTCATTTTTCAGAGGACAATTCTGTATGGTGTTTCTTCTGCTGATTTTACGTTTTCAGTTACATTTGATAGTCTTATTTATTCCATAGATTAGGGCTCCTATGTTTGTCCCATTTTTTTTTTCTTCTGTGGTCTTTTAAAATTCTAGGTTTTATGTGTAGGTCTTTGATCTATAGACTTTGTTTTTTTAAAATTTCATTTGTATGAGGAATGAGTCTTGTTTCTCGTTTCTGAAACTAGGTGCTCCATTTTTCCAGCACCGTTTATGGACGTAGGAACTCTGGTGGCTTTGTGGTAATTAATTTCACTGTTAGTGCACAGGTATATGGTTCCAGTCTACCAGCTGCTTCATGGGAGAAAGAACTCTCTGCTCCTGAGTGATTTACTGCCTCTGAAAACATGCTGGAGGGTCAGTTATGGGTTGGTTCCGACTTGATGGTTCACAACATGGAGGAGATTCTGTGTTTTCTTCACTTGATGGATTTCATTTCTTTGTCAACGATCACTTGTTCTGTAGGTAAATGAGTTTATTTCTGGGTTCTCTGTTGTATTCTATTGATTAATTATCTATGATGGAAAGGTGGTGGTGTTTTTTTAAAGCTCTGACATTTCTCTTCAGTTTGCCATTCTTAGCCCATAAAATTATTTGATTCAGAATGATCAGAATTCATTTCAGCTTACTAATGCTTAAGATCTTTATGCATTCCATTTAGTTTTTTACACTTCCCTGTTTTCCTAGATTCATACTTTGCACATTCCGTTTCTCAGTTATTAATAGTGGTTTGCAGGTGTTTCTCCTCGTTTTGAATTGTGACGCAACAGCAAGTGAAGGCCCTTCACTGTAAAAGCTTTACTTCCTCCATGTCCATTCAGGTAGACTCTGAGGAGAGCGAGTGTCCTTACTAGTATTTTGAGTGTCTTTGTAAAAGGGTACCCCTGCCTGGGAACGACCAAACCTGGCCTCTAACTCACATGGGGGACCTGTCCTCATCAACAACACCCACCACACAAACCACATTTTCGCCGGGGCAGACCTGGCTTCATGCTCCTGCACTAATTTCCATCAGTACTGATGCCAGCCGTAGCTCCCAGGGTTTTCCTGCCTCTGCTGCTGGGTCTGCGGAGCTGTTGCAGTGGCCACACAGAGCTCATGACACTGTTCTTACACTCACGGGGTTTGTTGGAAAAGCACAATGTCTCTTCACATGTTGTCTCCTCCTGGTCACATGGCTTGTCTGAGGTGTGTGCGGCAGGCCCCACTGAGTAAGCTTTGACCTGCAGTGACCCTGTGTACAGCACAACCACGAGCTTCCCAGTCCTGCGCCCTCCTCTCCGTTTCCACTGTGCTTAGCGGATTGTTACCATCTCTGTGAGCCTCTCAGAGCTCTTCTTCACTGACCCTCTGTTTTTCTCCAAATATGTTACCTTTCCCCAAAAACTGCCCTCTCCTAACAACGTGCCCAGATGAGGATTGTATGTGGAAGCTTAATTGCCAGTGTGGTGGCATCGTATTTGTGAAAGAACATCTTCAAGATCTCCAGCTGCTTCAAATGCACCTCTAGAAAAGGAGGGGCAATCTCCTCCGGTGCCATTTGGATCCAGTTTGATGGTACACAACAATAAAAAGAAAACAAAACCCCAAAAAACCCACGCAATGACAAACAAACAAAAGTCCCCAAAAAACCGAGATCTCCTTGAACGGGAGGGTCCAAGAGTCCCACCAGGAGCGGGAGGTGCTGCAGGCAGCTTCCCAGACACTTTAAGAGTGGGTAGAATCTGCAGGGACAAACCAGGATTCCACCTCAGGACATTTTGTTGTTGTTTTTTAAAAAAATTTTATTAATATTTACATTGTAATTTATATAGTTTTTCACTTATAATTTGTTCATGTGCAGCATGGGTTACTTTTAACCTTACAATTAATTGTCTCTTAAAAAACCTAAATAAAGCGGATTACACATTTCCTCTTTGACTAGGTGTTAAGTGCCATTGGGTCAGAACCAACTCATAGCTGACCCTCCGGCGGATTTTCAGAGGCAGTAAATCACCAGAGAGAAGATGGCCCATCTTTACCTTGTGGAGCAGCTGTTGGATTAGAACCGCATGCGTTCGAGTTGGCAGTGCAGCTCCTTAACCACGTGGCCACCAAACCTCCCTGTTTGACTAGTATGACTCCCAGTTAGGTGCTTTCATTTTTATAAGTGTCCCTGTTAGGGTCCCTCTGCTCTACAGCTTCCACTTACACCCCTGCCCTGCCCTTGCATTAGGAACTAGCTGTCAGTCATGTGTTTGACTGGGGACGCTGCAGTATTAGCAGTCCAGTAATTTAAGTTGTTTTATATTTGAGTCTGAAATATATTGTGTTTCAGTCTTCCTTGAAGTGCTACATCTTAAGAAGCGCTCCTCTTTCTCATTGTTTTCATGCTTTCATTCACATTCTTAAATTGTCAGATGTTTGAAATGAAAATTATCCCCCCCCCTTGACTGTGGTGTGCTTTTTGTTGTTTTTTTTCCAGTTGCCACAATAAAGGAGAATTGGTGATGGAGGCATTGTTGGAGGGGATGCAGAGTCGGGGACATGGTGGGTAAGTCTCCTTTTTGACCCCAAGCTTTGCACCGCAGTGTAAGAAGCATGTCCAAGCTATGCCTCTGATTAGAATGTGCTTTGTTACTTTGTTTTGATTTTTTTTTTAAAGGAGCAAACCCCACTTTATTAATTGTCCACTGTGGCAGAACTCAAGGAAACAATAAATTCAATCTTTCTGTTATTCTCTGCTCTCTGCCAGGGTCCAGCTGATGACAGAGATGACACACCTGATTTCAATTCCTCTTGGGACTATGACTGGAATTTGAGTTCCATGTTGGTGTCTTGATCCAGCTGGTTCTCTTGAGAAGGATTTTCTTTGTAGAACATTTTTTTTTTAATAAAGTTCTTTATTTTATACTGGTTTACTCACAAAGTTCATACACATTGTTTTTCACACCAGATCTTTTCCATTTCCTTTACCCTTCCCTCCCTTTTTCCCATCAAATTGAGTGACCCTATTGATTATCCCCTTGCCCATCCTCCCAGCCCAAATGTCCAACCGCAATTGAATGGATTGAGAAATAGTGGTAAATTCACACGGTGGAATCCTGCACATGGTGCAGGAGCAATGATTTTGTAAATTACTACCTAACTTGGGAGGATCTGGAGAGCATTATGTTAAGTGAACTCAGTCCCATAAGGACAAATACTGTATAAAACTATTATTGTAGAAATAGAAGGAAAACTAGTAAAACGTGCATGAGAATCTGACGGGGGCTGGGTGAGTAGAATGTGCTTTGAATATAAAAGTTTTTTCAGGCTCATTGTTGAACACAGAACTGATTCATATTCTCTGTGTGGCCAGCAGCCCTTTTGGGGTATTTGCCTCCTCCCCTCAGAAATGTGAACTTGGGTACTTGCCTTAATCCAACCTTGCACTCTCTAGTCTGAAAAAGGAAAAATACAGACTTTTTTTCTGACTCAAAGTCTCAAGTGCTGGCGCCTTTTATTTGAAAAAGTAATTCAACCTTGCTAGTTAACAGGTTGCTGTGTCCGTGGCTAGGAGTCTCTGACTCCAGTACATCTATGAAGTTCCTCTCTGTTTCAGAGTCCCTCTATACTATGAACCTGCAGTATTATCTAGCATCTTCAGAAACTTGGAAGGATCTGAGTATCTTTCCAATAAAATAGACTGTACTAAATTTGTAATAATAAGGTAGGAGAAATAGTTTACATAAATTGGCTCATGAATACATTTTTGAAAATAGATCTTAAAAGCACTATTCGTACTTTGCTAGCTTTTTATTTTGGCTAGCTGAAAACATGCCTTGAAGCTTCTCAACAAATAATACTAAAGAGTTAGTTACCAGTTGTGAAAGTTGAACCCCACAAGCCAGCCTTAAAACGCTATTGGCCAAATGGCTTGTCTGCGGATTGACTGCCTGGAAAGATGAAATAGCCTTTGGCGTAGGTAATTGTCTTCATAGGAGTAGAGAAAGCAAAAAGGTGAGCAGTCCCATCCGTTCTTTGCTGCCAGCAGTTTCCCTGTTGACGTTCCACGTGAGGTCCATGTGCATCTTCATGTTTTGCATGTGAAGGATGAGAGGCCACGTGGCCGTGTGTCCTGCGTTGTTAATGGGCTGTGTTTCCCGTAGGGGATTTTTGACATCCTGTGAAGCAGAACTGCAGGAGCTCATGAAGCAGATCGACATAATGGTGGCCCATAAAAAATCTGAATGGGAAGGTCAGACACATGCCCTGGAGGCTTGCTTGGACATCCGTGAACAGGAACTTAAGGCTCTTAGGAATCAGTTGGATATGAAGCACAAAGAGGTAAAGCCATTGCCTTTCTTTATCTTTCTGATATTTTGACTTTCTTTTATCTTCAGTGTGACTCTCTGGTGGCCCGTAGGTAAGGAGCTGCGCTACCAGCTCAGACAGGTGGTTTAAATCCACCAGCTGTTCTGTGGGAGAGAGATGGGTAGTCTTCTCCCATCTAATTGCTAGCCTCTGAAAACCTGCTGGAGGGTCAGCTGTGAGTCCATCCCAACCCCACAGCAACAAGTTAGTTTTATATTAACAGGGAACTCTGGTGGTGTCATCTGTAAGAACTTGCCTCTCTGGCTCTTGGAGAAGGATGGGTGGTCTCCCGTGTGACTTACAGCCTCCCACAAACTGCTGGTAGATCCAGCTATGAGTTGGTTCTGATTCAATGATAATGAGAGGGTTTTTAATATTAAGCATATTTTTTTAGTATTTTTTTCAGGAAAGTGATTCACTTAGCAAGAAAATTTCTGTGTTGTCTTTTATAATTCACACATTTATTTTCTGTCTTAACTTTAATACTTTTGAATGAATGTTTTTAAATCATACTGATTTTCATTCAGTTACTCATAAATATTTTGTTTTACAGCACTAATTATATTAATCAAGGCAATTAAATAAATGCAAATCAAAATAATGAGACTATCTCCTTACCCCAGTGACAATATCCAAGTTCAACAGGTTATTTATTGAACAGCAAATGTTGGCGAGGATGTGGAGAGATTGGAACTCTCATGCGCTGCAGTAGAAATGTGAAATGGAGCAACCACTCTGGAAGGCAATCTAGCACTTTCTCAGTTAGAAATACCCTGTGATCTGGCTGTCCCAGTGGAGTATTGCACGGCATTGAAAAACAAGGAAAACCTCGTGAAACACTACACAACATGGATGTGTCCAGAAGACATTATGCAGAATGAAAGAACTCCGTCACAAAAGGACAGATATTGTGGAAGATAAATTTAATAAAAAATAGCAAGATAGTAGGTAGAAGAAGGGTGGACAGGGAGAACAGGAAAAGAGTGCAGAGATAATTCCTGTACTGGAAATGAGTAGATGATCAGATGTATATCCCAGTCAACAGTCTGGAACAGGACATACTGCTGATTAATTGAAAATTGAGGGGGTGGGAAAGAGGAAAACTTAATAAAAAGAAGATGAATAAAGGGAATAGCAGTATACATTCAGGGTTGGCTTAGACATTGCAGAAAGTTAATTGCATCAACTAATTATTAAAACCAAAGAGATTAGGAAACTTTCACTCACAAAAAATATTTTTTTTAAAAAATAAAGTTTATCATTGGTTTTGTGTATATGCTTTTAATCACTTTGAGGAATTTACCTTTTATTGAGAGTTTTATAAATAAATACTGAATTTTGTCAGATGCCTTTTCTGTATCAATTGAGATGGTTATGTTGTTTTCCTTTGTTTTATTGATGTGATTGATTGTACCAGTTGTTTTTCTAATTTTGATTCATCTTTGCTTATCTGAATTCCACTTGACTATGATGAAAGATTTTTTTATGTGATGTTAGAATTTGTTGGCTGGGATTTTGGTGAGAATTTTTGCATCTGTGTTTTAGGAGGGATATTGGTCTGTCATTTTCTCTTTGAATTGTGTCTGTGCTTGGTTTTGGTATGAGGGTTACTCTTGTGTCATAGACTGAGTTCAGGAGTGTTCCATCTTCATCTGTATTCTGAAATAGAGTAGAATTGGTGTCACGTTGTATCTGAATGTTTGGTAGAATTCCCCTGGGAGGCTCTCTGGGCTAGGCATTATTTTGGTTCATAATGTTTTTGCGACCTGTTCAATCTCTCCTTTTGTGAGGAGTCTGTACAGATTTTCTGGATGTGTTAATTTAGGTCAGCTCAGCTCATTGCCGTTTGAGTCAGATATGACTCATAGCTGATCCTCCAGTCGATCTTCAGAGACTCCAAGTGAAATGAGAGAAGGTTGCCCAGATGTCTGTCATGAAGCAGCTGGTGTACACAAACCGCTTGCCTTTGGGCTTGGCAGTGAGACCCCTTCCACCTCACCTCCAGACTACCACCTCCAGAGCTCCCTAGGCAGTGACTTTGTAAAAATACATCCATTTCCTCTAAGGTTTCAAGTGTTGGTTATTCCTTGAAGAGGAAGGTCCCGCTAGAGAAGGGGAGAGGCGGTGAAGGAGAGGAAGACCCTCAGCCAGGTGGACTGATGCAGTGCCTGCAGCAGTGGGCTTGAGTGTGTCAGAGAAGGTGAAGATGGCACAGAATAGGGCAGGGTTCAGACGGGTTATTCACAGGGTCGCTATGAGCCATACTCGACTTGACAGCACCTAACAACAGAGTCCTTCATAGTATTCCATTATTTTGTTGTTGTTATGTACCACTGAGTCAGAACTAACCCATACCTGACCCTCTAGTGGGTTTTCAGAGGCAGTTAATCACACAGAAAGAGATTGCCCATCCTCCTCCCACAGAACAGCTGGTGGATTTGAACTGCATGCCTTTGGGATCACAGTGCAGTTTCTTCCTACTAGGCCACCCGAGCTCCCTTTATTAACCTTGTTATTTCTGTCGCTTCACCTGTTCTATTTCTTGTTTGTGTTATTTGTACCCGGTCTTTCTTTTCCTGTGTCAGTTTTGCACGAGGTTGGATTTTATGAAACCTTTCAGAGGACCAACTTCTAGTCTGGTCGATTGTGTCTATTGTTTTTATTTTTTTCTGCTTCACTAATTTCTGTGTTTATCTGTTAGTGAGCTCTAGTGGCCTAGTAGGTAAGGCGTTGCACGGCTAATATGAAGGACACCCTTTCTCTTGGCTCTAATCCAGAGGAGAGAGGTGAGCATGCTTCTCCCATGTGATTGACAGCCTCAGAAGACCCGCTGGAGGGTCAACTGTGAGTTCGAGTTCTGTCTTCATTGTTATTTCCTTTACTCTGAACATTTTGAGAGTTTGCTCACTGTTCTTGTTATCATTTTTGGAGATGCTGGGTTGAGGTGTTACTTTTCACTCCTTCTTTTTTAATACATGGCTTTAGCTTTATAAACTGACCTGAGTACTGCTTTTGCTGTGTCCCAGAAATTTGGAAGGGTCTGTTTTCATCACCATTCGCTGCCAGAAATGCACTTATTTTTCCCTTTAATCTCCCTGTTGTTGCTTTTGAATTTTAGAGTCTTGTCATCAGAGATGGTGTTTTGCAGCATTCTGATGTTTTTGATTGATTGAGGCTTACTTTGCTTTGTAACCTAATACATGGTCTATTCTAGACAATCCCCTCAGTGCACTGATTCTGATACTCTTATCGAGTGGAAAGTACATTTTGTGTCAGATCCTTCTAGTCATTCTGTCCTTCATCATAAAAGGTGTATTTTAGTCTCCTGTTATTGTGGACTTGTTTCTCTCTTCATGTTGAGTTCCTTTGTACTGTTTGGACAGCATTTTTTCTTGGTCTTTCTGTAGATTTCACATGAGCACAATCAAATGTTCCGAGATTTCCATTCTTCTCAGCATTATCTATAATTTGTTGCAATCCACACAATGAAATGCTTTTGCATGGCTGATGAAACACCAGTGAACATCTTCCTGGTATTCTCTGCTCGAATAATTTTTTGCCGTTTTTTTAATTAAATAAATTTTTATTTTGTGCTAGTTTGCTTACAAAGTTCGTATACATTGTGTTTCATATTAGCTTTCATTCATGTTATGTTTCATACAATTATTCCCTTTCATTATATTTTAGACAATTAATAAAGATGAAAACATGCCCACCCTTGCCCTGTCTTTTCACATCCCCAGTGGATCTTTCCCATTTCCTTTTCCCACTCTTCCTCCCCCATCGTTTTGTACAACCTTATGATTTTCCCCATCTATCCTCACCCTTCTGCTTATCCCCTTTGAATCCTCCTACACATTTTACTAGTTATCTTTCTATTTTAAAAATAATGGTCTTATACAGTATTTGTCCTTATGGGACTGGGTTAGTTCATTCAGCATAATGCTCTCCAGACCCTCCCAGGTTATGCAGTAATTCTTGTGCTTTCTTTATGGATGATATCCTTAGTGTAATCCCACTAACTGGTCTTTGGCTGTTAGTATCTTGTATATCAAGTCTGTTCTTGAGATGGTTTTGAAATTCAAGGTTGTATCTTGTTGAACTTGTAATTTTCTTTAGCTTCACTTTGAACTTGCACATGCATAACTGAGGATTTGTGCCACACTCCCCCTGTAGGCTTGTTTTGACTGTTGATGTTGAGCTTCTCCCTGGACTCTTTGCACAGATGTAGTCAGCCTGAGTCCTGTGTAGTCTATCAGGTGAGATCCTTACATAGTTGCTATATGTGGTTTTTAGAAAAGGTATTTATAGTAAGTGAATCAGTGCTTGTACAAAATTTTTTCATTCAGTCTCTAGTCTGTCACCAAGTCCATATTTTTTAATTTCATCTTTGTTTCCAACTTTTGTATTTGAGTCGCCGGTTACAATTAATGCAAAGACTATAACTTTCAAAGTAGACTACATCTCAACATCAAGAAAATAAAAATCCTCACTAGTGGACCAATAGGCAACATCATGATAGATTGAGATGCACAATCAACAGCAGTCAAGAAATCAGAAGATATGTTGCATTGGAAAAACCTGCTGTCAAGGAACTCTCCAAAGTGCACCAGAACCAAAATAGAGACAGTCATCTCAAGAATGGACTTGAGGCATTGGACAGTAGTGACTGAGTGAGCACCACGTGACTTGTGGAGGAATGATATCAGGGTATATCAGAAGAAAGCAAAAGGCTGTTGCAAAGACAATGGGGGATGGGGGAAAAGACCAAAGTGAATATCAGAAGGGGCTCTGAAACTTGCACTAGAAAGTAGAGAGGCTACAACAAAGGGATGAAATAATGAAGTAAAAAATATGAAGATTTCAAAGAGTTAAAGAAGAAGAGGCAAAGTAGGATAGCAGAATATCAAAGAGCTGGAGTTGGATACAACGGAAGAACACACTCAGTATTTGTCAAGCTGGAAGAACTGAAGAACGGATTCAGACTTTGAGTTACAATACTGAATGATTCTATAGATAAAATCTTGAATGATGCAGGATGCATCCAAAGAAGATGGGAGGAATACATAGAGACATACCAAAAAGAATTGGTCAATACTGAACCATTTCAGGAAGTGCATATATGAGGAAGAACCAATGGTAATGAAGAAGTTCAAGCTGCACAGTAAGAATTTTTATTTTCTTAATGCTGAGATGTAATCCATATTGAATTTGAAGAGGTGGGTGGTGAAAAGGTTAAAAATGTCAGCAACTTTATTTTATTTGTATCAACAGTCACTACCCCCCCTACTCCCCCACCCCCCGCCACCCCCCATGGCAGCAGTAGTCAAGAAACCAAGCATTTGAATGTTGGACAGTGACTAAAGACGCTTGAAGGAGAATTGATGTCTTTGAATTGTAGTGTTGGTGAATAATATGAAATACCCCATATTATTGTTGTTAGGTGCCATCAAGTTGGAACCCATTTGTAAGTAACCCTGCAGCAGGTTTTCAGAGGATATAAATAGCATAGGAGGATATTGTCCATCCTTCTTCCCTGAGCATTTGGTGGATTTGAACTGCATGTCTTAGGGTTGGTAGCACAACTCCTTACCACTAGGCCACCAGAAGGAAAAGCAAACGTGTCTTAGAGGAAGTGCAACCAAGCATGCTCCTTCGCAATAAGGATGGTGAAACTTCACATCACGTGCGTTGAATATGGAGAGGCCAGTTTTTGGGAAAAGACATCATGCTGGGAGAGGTGGAGGGTCAAAGAAAAAGAAGACAACTCTAAAGAAATGGATTGGCATAATGACTGTGACAGTGAGTTGGAGCATGCCAGAAATTGTGCGACTAGCACGGGAAAGGGCAAGGTTCAGATCTGTTGTTCATAGACTCCTTATGAGTCATGGTGGGCTCCTTGATGCCTGCCAACAGCAACAACAATGCAAGTGTTTTGTGCTTTTCAAAGGAGTCTTTCAGTGGCTGGCCATTGTCACGCTGGCTGAAAGCACTGCATCATAATACTGGCTGTTCAAATTCCGTGTTCTAGGTGGAAATACCACCTACCAAAATGGGATTTTGTTCTCAAATTTATGCATAACTTTTAAGATGTGTTTTATTTATTTGGTTATTGTCTTGTTAAATTATTTTTTATTTAAGTGATAGTATACAAATAATTTTGGCTCTTCGGTTTAGAATGTACTTGAAAATTGTGCTTCATACAATGAATATTATACAATGATATAGAGAAGGTGGTAGGAAAAATGTATGGAATGATAATCTTTTATGATTTTATAACAACTAATTTTTATAGGGTCCTTCTTTCTTGATAAGCTACTTTAGCTACTATGGTGTTAGCTTAAAGCTGGCTTTTCTTAGCCATTATTTTAGCCCCCTCTGCTCTCCCGCTGCCTTAACTGCAGACGCTGGAGCTTGTAGATCATCAACAGCTGTAGAACTAGGATAAGAGAGAGTGCTTCCCACACTGAGCAGCAAGACTTGAGGGAGACTGGAGTGAGCCCCTGGCGATGGTGGTAGAGAGACTGTGGCATTGCTGTGGAGAAGGCAAGTTGTAGCCAGAGGAGCCCTGAGATAAATTAGGCCACAGTGAAAGGTTTTTGCTGTTCTTGCCACATGCCTAAAGGAGAAGCTGATTTATAACTGCACTGAGACAAACCCTGCTGGATGACTGAGGAAACCAGAGGCTTGTTGAATTTGTGTTGCTGAACTGAAACCAGAGCCTAGACCAATTGAGGAATTGTGATAGTTTTGCCTTTCCTACTCTTCAACTTAATTCCCTAATAAACCCCATTCTTGGTACTACAACTGAGAGTTAAGTCTGTGAGTCAACAACAAGTAAACGAACCTCTTGCTGGTGGTGTGGTTCTAGAGCCATGGTGCTGGGCTACGGGCTCTTTGTCTGCTTTCTGAGTGAGAGGCTGTGCTATTCTCACTCATCCTGGCCCTCTGGCCCTTTCAGAAAGACACTCGTGGCCCTATCTTCCCCTGTCCTATTGTCTACTCTTTGGGCAGCTACTATCTATTTTTTCCCTAAAACAAAACAAAAGTAGCTCTGGATAATAAATTTAAATGAGAATCATTTCTTAGTTAAGAAAGCCACCATATAAATAGGTACCTAAGTTGTTCATTTTGTTAGAAACCCATTAAAGAAATTCTTGTTAGTGTGATAATGCGAACATTTAACCACCTAGGCCTATTTTGAACTCATTCTTCTAGCTTAGCTTTGGGTTCAGGGACATTATTACTATCACTTAATACCTGTAAAGAGATATTACAGTATGGCTAGGATAGTTTCTACAGTAGGATTTGAAGATTACGGGTTTGATCTAGGGACAAATAAGACATTAAGAAATGCAACCGTCTGGTCCATTTCCTGCTTCATTGGTTTGCTGGCTGAAAGTTGATTACGTTTCTAGAATTAATGTACTTTTACCACTCAGTAGTAATGGAATTATTCCACATAGACTTGGTGAAATTGTGTTGCATCGAAGCACGTCTGTCAAGTGAGAGTTATAAACACGTTCATCATCTACTTTGAGCAATATATGTTGTAAGAACTGGAAAATAGAAGTTTATGTTTTTGTCATTCTAATTTGTTTGAAGGGCAAAGACCTAGAAGAGGTCAGCACTTAGGTATTTATTGCTCAGACAGAGGCTTGTCCACAAAGAGATAAAGGGGATATAAATTGACACTGCATCTTCCATCAAAAAGTTTTGTATCCTAAAAATGTCACTTGATGTAAACAAGGTGTCTGTTGACACAGTTGATTTTCCTTCTCGCTCAAGGTCCCTCTCTGTGGTAGACTTTGGGTTTTGACCAGCTCCCATCTCCTGCTCTGAAGAATCACTCTTGCAGGAACATTTGGTATGAAAACTCATTTTGTAAGTTAGTGTGTTTTTCAGTGACACTGTTGGGCTTGGCGTGATATGAATGGACATTCTGACTTCCATTGTCTTCTCAGGCCCAACAGAGCAGATTGACCTTGTGTGACAAGGAATTTGAAGTCTTCTTTAAAACTTGCATTAAAATCACAAAAAAAAAAAGAATAGTTTTATCTTTTGTATGTTAGTAATAATATTTATCCATTCTATGAATTTGAGCTTCAGAATCTCTATTTCAACTTGAATAAATTCCTGCTGGTATTTTCATTGAGACGACTCTTATTCCTGTGAGGGAGTTTATTTCTAGTTTTTTGTGTGGTTCTGTATTGTAACTGAGATTTCTCTTACTCCCTGTCCTCCCCTCCCTGTTATAAATGGATTTGACTCTACTGGTATTGTGACTGAGATTTCTTTTACTCCCTCTTCCCTTCCTGTTATTAATGGATGCAGTTCGACCTTATTGTCAAGAGATACAGAGAAATACAGGTGGAGCTGAGGGCGAGGTTATTGAATAGCTGTGGCTGACAGGAAGCCACTGAAATACAAGTTTGGATACCTTTGTTTTGGTGAGATTGGACCAGCTGGTTTCCCTGAAGTAGTTTGAATGATAAAAGCACAAACCTTCTATTCTCTTTGTCTAACATTAATATCCTGCACTTTGACTTGTGGAAATTATTCTTGAAATCTGGCCGAATTTTGTTCAGTCTTAGTTTCCAATGTTTCTTAAAGCTTTTTTGCTTGAAATATTTGATGAAAAGAGTGAAGAGTGTATCAGGCAGTGAGAGTTAAGTGTCCACCTCACCTAAGTATTCTAAAACTGTTTTCTCTGTTTTGGCCATGTTATAAATGATCAAGGGCACTGTATATTTGACTTCCTGATGAGCGGGGTGTGTGACCTTATATAATTTGAGATTATGTGTAAGAACAAAAGTGACTTCCTGTTTTATATTTCAGTGTAAATGATGAGAAATGCTACCGTTTGCTCTGTCTGTAGGTTGGAATATTGTGTCAGCAGGTAGAAGAACATGAGAAGGTCAAGCAAGAAATGGCCATGAACTACAAGCGAGAGTTGATGAAACTACACGAAGAGGTGAGACGGCCATTTTTTAAAAATTGTTGTGTAATTCTGTCTCTTTAATACTTAATGAGAGTTGTGTTAATGAGCATTTTCTCGTTGATAAAGCTCAGATACAAATTCCACGAATGGTGCAGAAGTGAAAATCCTTTCTTTCTGTGCCCTGATGTGATAATGGTCACCCATGGTGGACAGTGTTGGGTGGAGCTCCCTGATAAAAACAAGCTTGGGAGCAGGAGTGGCGTCCACTTCTGAAATGGCTTGTCTCCGGAAACCCTGTGAACAGTGCTCAGGCCTTTCATTCATAGGGTCGCTATGACTCGTCTACGACTCGACGGCACAAAACAACAACAACAGGCTACATGTAGAATCTTGCCATTTGAATACTTGCTGTTACCTAGAACAGAGATTCTAAAATGCATTTCTTGGTTTGAGTACCTGAATGAAAAAGTTATTTTTGCATAATGCTGTAAAATATTTGTAACAAACCCAGATGTTTAAAATTAGAATTTTTGCATTAAACCAGTGATTGGCGTTTACTTCTCTATTTATTTTCTACTGTTATTTTATTATTATTATATGCAAGGAAACTGAGTTCTCATTACACAGTTTTTATACTGGCTGTTCCATAACATTGGTTACAGTTTTCACAGTGTATCAGCAGTCCCATTTCTGTTCTATTTACTTTTGTCTAGCTTCCCTACCTCTCCTATCCTTCTCATCGCTGCTGTGGGGCAAATGTTGACTATTTGGTTTTGTAACATTGATTATTTAAAGGGAGGGCTGTACTCACAGGCTACTTTGTAAGTCATTCTACTAGTGGCTTAAGTAATAGGTGGCTCAAATGATATTTTAACGCCTCAGGGGTTCCTTGGGGGGCTTTTTGATTGTTTGTCTAGGGTTATTGTCTGTTATAGTGACTGGGTTTAAATAATTGATGGACCTGTTTTGTGGTAAAAACCTGAACATAAGAAATTTCTATGAAATCAGTTTTAGTGGTCATTTGGGTAAAACTTATATTATTTTAAATTGAAAATATTTCTTTTATAAGAAAGTGGAAACTCTCCTTTAAAAAATCCCTCCTAAGATCTCCCGTCAAAACAAAAAACCACTCAAACAGAAATACGCTTTTGGCTATTGAATATCATTAGTCCATGTGAATGAGCGTGGTTCAAGACCACAGACCTTCAGAGAAGACAAGAAGGTTTTAGTGTGTGTGTGTGTGTGTGTGTGTGTGTGTGTTTGTAGGTGGAGAGAGATACTTAAGGATAAAGTTATTGTAATAGAAAGATTTGTTTAAAAAAATACTTTCAGTGTATTTCTTTGCTAGTTTTTAATTTCCAAGTGTATTTCTTTGCTAGTTTTTAATTTCCATGTTATTTTGTTTTTATTTTTGTTTCAAGTATGTCATCAGTCTGCTCTTAATAAGACTTTTTAGTTTTATTGCTTTCGTAATCTCAGTTTATCCTTTCACTATTTACAAAGGTCTTAAATGATAACTCTCGAACTCTCTCTCCAGTTAGACAAACTGAAGAGAAGCTATGAAAGGCTTCAAAAGAAGCATGTACGGGATTCCCGAGGAAGCACCAGGTGTCAGAGGGAGGATCGGTGTGAAATTGAGAGGCTGACTAGCAAAATAGAGGTATGTTCATAGCAGCAGTGTGTTCCCAGTGATTGCTAGCTAGCCTTGGTGTAGGGAGCTGTTTATAACAGTGCTGTTTCCTCAACAAGTTTTCTCCCATCTGCAGGATTACCACGGAGCAGTTTCAGAGGTGGCTGGGCTCGGGGGTGCATGGGGGTGTGAGTGGGGGAATGGGGGATGCACTGTGCAGATTAGCATCCCTGGCTCCCTGCTGCATTTACTACCCGCTATGAGTAATTCTCCTGGCTAGACGAGAAGAGAATGTTGGAAATGTATGGAGACATTGTTATAGTCGTCAGAATTACAGAGACATACAGCTGGAATTCAGGGGGCAGGGATCAAGAACGTGAAACATGTCTGGTACTTTTCCACACGGGAATTATCCCATTCTAGCCTCCAAGGAGAAACTTGTTTTCACTCTCTCCAGGACAGACCTATTTACTTTCTTGGTAGTCCATGGAATGTTGAGGACTCTTCTCCAGCACCACAATTCAGAGGCATCAAAATGCTAGTGTCTCTTCTGTCAAGGCCTGGTGATTATTATAGGCAGCGCGTTTGTGCTGTATGGATGGTTTTGGGTTTTTTTTCTGTAATCATTGCATCTCCAGCATCTGATAGCATTGTTGTTATGTGCCATTGAGTTTCCATTGGCCCATAGTGACCCTCTGTACAACAGCTCTGAAGCCTGCCCTGTCCTGTGCCTGTCTCACTAATTCCGACACACCACCCCCCGTTGTCCCAGTTACTGTATCAATCCATCTCATCTGGAGTCTTCCTTTACTGTGCTGTCCCCCCACCCTTCCGAGCATGATAGTCTTCTCCAAAGACTGGTCTCTCCTGGCCATGTGCCCAACTTATGTGAGACGGAGTTTCAAAATTCTACCCTCCAAGGAAAACTTGTTTTCACTCTTTCCAAAACAGACCTATTTGTTTTCTTGGTGGTCCATGGTATGTTGAAGACTCTTCTCCAGCACCACAACTTAAAGGCATCAATTCTTCTGTCATCCTTAATCATTGTCCAGGTCTCTGATGCATAGCAAGTAATTGTGGAGGTCATGGCCTGGATTAAGCGCTAATAGCATAGGGGTAATAAATCTTTTAAGTATATGATTGCTTTTTGTACAGAGTCCTCTGGGAGAAGCAACGGGAAGATACCTTTCACATCCTCCCAGCCTGTGTCCACTCATTCTCAGGCACACCTTGTTTCTTTGGGCTTGGCTTTACTGCACATCACAGAAAAACATGACAAATTGAAGGCGTCTGGCAGCCCTGCATCCAGCAAGCCTGTCGGTGCCATTTTTCCACTGGCATCTACTCACTTTGTGTCTCTCTGCCCCATTTTGGTTCATTCTCACAGTATTTCAAACTTTGCCATAATCCTTTGTACATGTAATAGACTGTAATATAAATGTAACTTTTATGTGCACTAGGGAACTACCCAAAAGATATTGTGTGAACTGAATTATTGTGACACTTGCTTTACTGTGGTGGTCGGGGACTGACCCCACGGTATCTCCGCGGTTTCCTGGGTCTGTGGCTCTCCTGTGGGGTCCTCTTTCTGTCCCAGGCCCTGTGTTCCCTGCTGCCCTCTCCCTCAGCACTTTGCATCATCACTTTTCCTCTCTTCTCTGCATTCTTTCTATTTTCCTTCCAAACGTCTCTCCTCCATCGCTGACAGGTGCTCTATTTCCCCCCTTAATTTTAGGACTAAAATAATTCAGACATCTATGCTTCTCTCCATTTCTTTTTCTTCCCTTCTTTCTCGAGTTTAAAATAATAGTAGCTTTACCCAAATGAGCACTAAAATGGAGGTAAAATGGAAGTCACCAAGAGCTGACACGTCACTGATGTCATCAGCATTTGGGCCTCCTCTGCAAAATACTTTCTTGAACTAGGTTTAGGGGAAAAAGCCAGTTTCTTCCTTCCTTACTAACCATTCTCTCTCTCCCCCCTCCCCCCCTTTTATCTTTATACTATTTAGCCTCTTTTAAAAAAATTTTAAATTAGTTTACTCTAGAAGTTCATATACCTTGTGTTTCACACTATTCTTCATTCATATTTTCATACAGTCATTCCCATGCATTATATTTTATGAAATCAGTCACCATTGGACCTTGCCCATCATTATCTAATCTTTTCAGCTCTAACCACAGCACCCCAAGGTATTCCAGTGTCCAAAGCTTTTAAAACAAAGGAGGTTAACCATTCTCCTTTAGTCTCCTTTGTTTTATAACGTTTTGACATTGGAATACTTAGGGTCCTGTCATTTTCTCTCTCTCACTCCTTTGGTGATCTTATTCAGCCTAAAAAACGCAGACCCTGTGTGGATGCTGATAAATTCTAGGTTCCTTTATCTCGTCTTGACCATTCCAATAGAGAACAATGTCCACTTGCCTGTTTTGCATCGACACTTGAATGTCTAAAGCTGTCTCACACTTAACATATTCAAAACAAGTCCTGACTGGCTTTTCCCCATCAGCACCAGCCTTCTCATTCCCATTCCAACTGATGCTAATTCCATTCTTCAGTTTACTTGGATGTCTCTTTTCTCAACATGCCAGCCAGAATGATTCTGTTATGATTGAACCGTTATTTAATATTACTTTCTTTGCAAAAGCTTCCCGGTAGCTTCTCGTGAGAGCGGAAGTAATTGTGGTTGTCTACACGGTCTGTTGTTGTTGGATGCCCTTGAGTCCATTGTGACTCACATTGGCACTTTGAACTCACTCGGCTGCTCAGGGAGGAAGATCTGGTCCTCCGACCCCACAAAGTCTATAACCAGAAAAACCCTGTGGATGTAAGTCACGATGAGACCACCCAGGTTGGCTCCCTGCTAACTCTCTGGCCTTTTCTCCTCTTTGTTTCCCTTTTGTTCACTCCACTCCAGCCCTCCCAGCCTTCCTGGCCTTTGTACAACACGCCAGGGTGCTATCCTTCCAGTGTACTTCAAGGCAGTTGTAGCTACTGCTCCTTCTGCACAGAATAGTGCACTCCCTCTCCTTTTTCCTTCTGGGTTTACTGAAATGTTATTCACTCGGACCATCTCTTTTCAGAATGACAACTTCCATCTCTGACCTCCAGTTGGGTAACGCTGGAGCTTTTCTTTTGTTAAATACTGTGTTTCCAGCACCCAGCATAGTGCTTGACATATGGTAGGATGGATGGATCATTGAGCAAATGAACAAATGACTCTCAATAAGCCTGATTGGCAGCGGAATTACCCACAGGGGCCCGAGACTTCTGCTGGAGTTGGGGGTCCTGGGAGGCAGTCGTTTCATAACTATGGGCTCATTCTCTTCAGGATGTGATTTGAAGTCTCTGTTGAATTCTTTTTCTTTGGCATGAGATTGCAAACATATCTTAAAATTTAGTATAAATTCCCCTTCGTGTTCAATTCTGTATGTTCTTGTACTGAGATAGGAGATGTTTGGTATTGAGGAGCACTGTCAGCCACATTAGGCTGTGTGTTGTCTAAGTGATTTGCTTCCTGAGCTTTAGTTGCTGAGATTAGACAGCCAAGGGATGTGTCTGAAAATTTATTTGAATCTGTTCGCTGCCTGGGTTTGGGAATCAAGAATTTAGACAGTAAGGGATTCAGATTTTGAAATTAGTTACCCTAGCCTCAATTTGAGGTAAAGCATTAGAAGATTACAGCCACCCTGAAGTGGCAGAAAATCTGTGAGACTCATCACAAACCCAGCATTCACTATCTGTGTCTCACTCTTTATCAGTATAGGAGGCAGGTACCCAAGGAAGCATGTTGTGTAAAGAATTCAGATCTCCCTGCAGTTATATTCGCCCTGTCAACAGTGGGGTTCCTGCTGTGGAGAATGGTACACGCAAATATACTCAGGGACGTGGAGAAAATGAAAGTAAAGGGGAGTCGGGGGAGCATTGACAAATAACTAAAGGGGGACACACTCCTAAGTCTAATACCCTAATTGCCTTTGCAGGAATATCGTCAGAAATCACTGGACTGGGAGAAACAGCGCCTTATTTATCAGCAGCAGATCGCTTCTCTGGAGGCTCAAAGGAAAGCTCTGGCTGAACAGTCAGAGATAATTCAGGTGAGCTGGAGACCTTTCCGAAGCACTGAAGGCAGATGGGCTTTGAGGAAATCCGAACTGCCATGATGCAGCTTCCTGGTGCCATGCTCTTTCGTCTTCTCGTTCTTAACTGCTTTCTCTTTTTTTATGTTGAAAGCCTCTCTCCTCTACTTACAGGCTTACCCCCTTTAGTGTCTGTTGGTGTTTGTTGTCTTGTGTGGTTGAATCAACTGGATCATAGCTAATCCAGCTGGTTTTCAGAGGCTGTAAATCGCATGGGTTTTCAGAGGCTGTAAATCTCCTGGAAGACGGGTTTTCAGAGGCTGTAAATCTCCTGGAAGACGGGTTTTCAGAGGCTGTAAATCTCCTGGAAGTTGGGTTTTCAGAGGCTGTAAATCTCCTGGAAGTTGGGTTTTCAGAGGCTGTAAATCTGGAAGACCGGTTTTCAGAGGCTGTAAATCTCCTGGAAGGCGGGTTTTCAGAGGCTGTAAATCTCCTGGAAGGCGGGTTTTCAGAGGCTGTAAATCGCCTGGAAGGAGCCTGCTCCTCTTCAGCTGGCAGGAGTAGCTCGGCCACGAGCAAGGGGTTGCTGTGACCTCAAGGAAGAAAATGCTTTCTAGGCTGTTGCAAACTCTGGCGCCCGAGTGGGCAGGCTCAGTCATAGGATCGCTGTCTAGACCGCTGTTCTGAATTCTAGCACACTCTACAAACATAAATAGCTCTACACTACTGTTCTGTTTTAACTGTGGTGTTCACTTTGATGCAAAAGCAAAGTAAGTCCTCATTTTCACAGTTCTTAGCTGACTGTGACAACCACCCTGTGAACCACAGGTCTGGGTCTTGCCCTGTCCTGCAGCATGGCCGTCGTCTCTGATATGGACCATGGTCACCATGTCTGAGATGCTCGAGCCAGTAACTTGCAGTCACTGTGTCAGTCCATCCTGCTGAGTGCCCTCCTCTTTCTCTGCCCTTCCCAGGATGATGTCTTTTTCCAGGGATTGGCCCCTCTTGGAAACATGGCCGTAGTGTATGGAACACGGTTTCATCGTTGTTGCCTGTCAGGAGTTTCCTGGCTGTACTTGCCCAGGACAGATTTCTTTATGCTTTCGGCACTCTATGGGACACTCGGCATGCTGCTCCATCACCTCAGTTCAAAGGCATAGGGGTTTCTTCTGTCATTCTTTTTCATTGTCCAATTTTCAGATGCATAGTTGGTTGTTGTTGTGAACCAACCCATTGCTGATCCTCCAGGAGGTTTTCAGAGGCACCTAATCACGTGGGAGGAGGTTGCCATCCATGGAGCAGCTGGTGGATTCGAACCTCATGATTTTGGGACTGCAGTGCAGTTTCTTACCACTAGGCAAACAGCTGTATTTATTATTTTTTTTTTCAAAGTATGGTCTCACAACATTTCTTCTCCAGAAGAATCTTTTTACTTTCTCAGTACTTTCTAATCCCTCCTCAAAGTCTTTCTTGTATGTCTTTGGTGAAGGAAGGATTTATGTTTTTGGGTGGGAAAGAGAAACTCCGTTTTACTTCCGTCTTCCTTTCTCATTCTCCACTTGCCATTCTTCTTTGACTTCACGGCACTTGCCGGGTTTCCAGGCTCAGCTCGCCAACCGGAAGCAGAAGTTAGAGTCCGTGGAGATGTCCAGCCAGTCGGAAATCCAGCACCTTAACAGTAAGTTGGAGCGGGCCAATGACACCATCTGTGCCAACGAGCTGGAGATCGAGCGCCTCACCATGAGGGTCAACGACCTGGTGGGGACCCACATGACTGTCCTGCAAGAGCAGCGGCGCAAAGAGGAAGAACTGAAGGAATCAGAAAAACTATTAGAGGTAGGATTTTTACATTACTGTAATTAAGGTGCTCTCTCTGTGAGCATTTTCATTGAGACTTTGAAATCACTTGCTATGAGCTGCACAGTGACTAGGGAGTATAGAAGAATTGATGCCATTGAGCTGTGGCGCTGGAGAGGAGTATTGGATATAGCATGACTGCTAGGAGAATAAACACGTTCATCATGGAGAGCATGAGACCAGGATGATCCTTGGAAGCAAGGATTCTGAAGCTTCATCTGACATACTTTGGACATGTTGCTAGGAGGGACCAGTCCTTGGAGAGGGATCATGCTTGGGAGGGTGGAGGGACAGCGCAGGAGAGGAAGAATCTCGATGAGATGGTTGATTCAGTCACTGGGGTAATCGGGATGGGTGTATCAGAGACAATAGATTGGCACAGGATAGAGCAGGGTTTAGGGCTGTTGTACACAGGGTTGCTATGAGTCGCAGGTAACTGGATGGCACACAACAACAACAACAACAATTAACCTGGAACTGTGGTTGTTGTTGCTGTTGGTCAGTTTGGAACTGACTTGTAGCTGACCCTCCAGCAGGTTTTTAGAGACAGTAAATCACATGGGAAGAGATGGCCCATCTTCCTCCTGCAAAGCAGCTGGTGGATTCAAACCGTGTGCCTTTGAATTGGCAGCACAGCTCCTTACCACTAGGCCACGGAAGCATCTAAAGAAACTTGGTCTTTTCACCTAGAACTGTTGTGGTTTGTTAGACTACAGCTCATCAGAATGTACCTGAACCATGTCCTATCCTGGGCCATCTTCATCAAGTCTGACACACTTGAGCCCATTGCTGCAGTCACTATATCAACCCTCTCTTTAGCTGATGCTCTGCCCTTCCACTTAGAGCTAGGTTTTTTCAAATGTATGGTTTCTTCCCCACTTTGACTGCTAGATCAGGTATTGATGGCTGTATCAACGTGTGCGTCTGTTATAGAGTTTACAATCTGACTGGAAAAATTGTAATAGTGCATGACATTTTTTCCTGCTGAGCATTTTGTAGATATTGCGAGAAGAGAAGAGAGAATTGAAGGTAACACTTCAGTCTCAAGAAAATCTGATCCATGAAGCCAGATGTCAAAAGGAGAAGCTGCAGGCAAAATTAAGAGCCTCTGACACTCAGCACGCAGTAGAGATCATTAGGTAAACCACACCTTAAGTCGTACTCATTCTTGACGTGCGGTGACTTGGCATTACGTGCAACTTTTAATATTACCTCTTTTGGTTTTGTGTTCGATTTTATTCCTGCCTTGAAATTTTATAGTATTAACAGAAATCTGGTGTGGTTATTATTTTTATGGGTTTTGTTTTCCTTTTTTTCAATTTGGGTGGTTCTTAGAGACTTCTCCAGTCTTTTTTTTGTTGTTTTGTTTAAATTTATTATTAATTTCAGTAAAAATTTACAGACTTTGGATTTCCATTCATTCATTGTTGCACTTGTTTCCCCTCCCAACTCTCCCTCCTAGTACATTACCCTCTTGGAAAAGTAGAAGAAAAATTCTTTCATTGTTTTACAATCCCTCCTCCAGGTCCACTCCACCATGTAGCCTTTGCTCTAGACTCCTGTCATGACAAAAATACCTAATCACATATCCCTTTAAACAGTTTTCTCCCTCATCTGTTTCAGTGCCGTATACATTATTGAACCCATCTTTCTCAGTTTCTCCCCTACCCCAAGGTCAGTCCTGTTTTCTAACAGTGGCATTATGCAGTATTTGTCCTTTTGTGACTGAAATACTTCACTCAGCATAATGTCCTCCAGGGTCACCCATTTTTGTATAATATTTCATGAGTTTCTTGTTTTTCAATGCAGCATAGTAATTCATTGTGTGGATATACCACAGCTTTTCTATCCATCTGTTTGTTGATGGTCACTTAGGTTGTTTCCTTGTTATTGTGAACAAAGCCACAATAAACATGGGTGTGCATATATCTGCTTGGGTGGCGGTTATGGTCTCTTTGGGGTATATTCCCAGTAGTGGAATTGCTGGGTCAAATAGTATCTCTATTTGCAACTTGTTGAGAAAGCGTCATACCGCCTTCCACAGTGGTTGCACCACAGTCTTCTGACTTTGATAAATCTGAGATGGCTCCATGGTCAGTCTTCCACCTGGGTGAAATTCCAGGTGTAAAGAGAACTGTAATTGGCTTCTTCTGGAAAGTCTTAGTTGATAAAATGGATCGTGATTAGCAGTAGCCACCAGCATGGTCAGTGTGATCATCATAGTGAAAAAAGAAACAACTGCAGAACAGTTGTTCTACGTCTCATTGTGTCACCTGTAAATCACAGTTGCAGCCATTTATTGAGATAACTTATTAAAAATACCCCTGAGAGCTCCGGTGGCCTAGCGGTAAGAATCTGTGCTGCAGTCCCGAGAATATTCCTGAAATTCTGGTGAAGGGAGGGCAAGGCTATGGAAAGGTTCACACACAGATAGAAATAATTGTGGAGGGTTGACCTGGAAGAGAAGGAGGGAGGAGAAGAGATTATGGGTCAGTAGAGTGAGGGAGAGGGGAAGGGACCTGTACCTGTGAGGACTCCGTAAGAAGTTGTAAATAAATTGTACTTAATGTTATAAAACAAAACGTATGTGAGTGAGTGAATAGAAAATACTCAATAAAATATCCAGGAAAGTATCCCTGAGACTAATGAAAGGCAGGATCCGATAGTGATTGATTTTATAAAACGGTGCATGGGAATGATTGTATGAAACACAGTATGAATAAAGAATAGGTGAGACGCAATGTATATGAACTTTGTAAGCAAACCTAGATAAAATAAACGTTATATAAATTTTAAAAAACTTCACCCCATAGCTAATAATCATAAAATTCCTTGCTTAAGACCAATTTTAAAAAAAAAAATCCCAAGGCTGTTGCAAATTGGACACAGAAAGAAAGCAGGGACACGGGGAAATGAATTCTGAAAAAGAGGGAAGGCTGAGACAGGGGTCCTCTCATAGTTTAGCACTGTGAAAAGGCCCTTTTCTTCATTTCCCTATGATTTTTTATATAGTTTAAGCCAATCATCCTAAAAAAGTTGAATTTCCGGACACTCTGTTTTCCTTATACTTAAGTGTTGCCAACATAACAATGGGTAAGCTTAATCTTTAAACTAAGACCAAAGTTCAGCAAGGCATCCCCTCGGGTGGGAAGCTGGGCAGAAATCTCTTTTGCAGAGGGCATCCACTATCTCCTCCAGGGGGCTGGACAATTCTCTGTTTGCGGCGGGTGCTCAGTCCTGTCTGGACTCTGATCTCAGCTGCGGCCAGGCTGTCACTATGTCAGGGAATCCACATTTCTCCCCTTCAGTTGATGAGGCATCACTTAGTTATCAAGGTAAATAGAGCTTCTCTTCCTTTTTCCGTGATTTTTTTTTTTTCATTCTCCATCCTTGACATAAAAACACAAAAATAAGAATTATAAGACAAAACATGATTATAGAAGAACTTCCAAAAATTTTAACATGATCAAAGGGATTAAGATTAGAAATTTCTTCAGTAATTTCTTCCAGAAAATCAGTATTACTACATTTCCTCAATTGTTCATTAAAAGTATCATGAATTTGAGCTTGTAACTTTAATATCTCATCAGTTAAATTACCATGATTCATGATATGTTTGCAAATTTTATCCCAATGCCATTTAATAGTAGTCCATACAGCAGGGGTCACACAAAATTAATAGTATTTTCGTCACATTTACTATTTTATTTGCTTTCTCTGGTGTTGCAAATTCTTTCCATAAACTCTCAACCTCTTGAAGTTTCTTCTCATTTAAAACCTTAAAGAGATGACGCGGGTTAGGGGGCTGCGCGGCCGGGCACCAGCAGAAAAATGACTAATTTGTAGTCACAAGCGTGTAGCTGGAAAAGCACAAGTGTGTGCACCACCATCAACAGATGCTCAGACCATGCAGACAACACGCGCCATAGTGCCCCGCAAGGTAGACCACACGAACCGGTCCCTGCTTCCTTTCTGCGTCCGGTTTGCAACCCGAGGCTAATTTCATTGGCGTATGTATGCTATTGCTCCAAGAGGTTTGTGGTGGGAAGCGGTAGGGTAAGTTATGAGAGCTCCTCTTCTACTAAGTTTGATGCACACTGCTTGTTAACCAAGTGCCTTTTGCCCTTTTATTTTCCCTTCTACCTGGAAAAGCAGGCAGAAATTGCTGCTGACTGTTAAGAAACGGTCTCTCTTGTTTGTTTACTTTCCCAGTGGTGGTTTGGTTTGGTTTTTCTCTCAGTAAAACAGGAGAAAGCTGAAGCGTTCGAGAGATACGCAGCCTGTAACATTCATCCTGTGTCCCCCCCAGGTCTCTGGAGGAACCTCAGTCGGAAAGGAGGTACAGCTCCCAGGGGCAGGGGGACTTAGAGAGCTCGCTCCCACTGCTGGGCCTCAGCCGCACGAGTGAGGAACTCCTGCAGGCAGAGGTGACACGTCTTGAAGGCAGGTAGATAATTGTATACAGATTTCAGAGACTTTGAGGTTGTTCACCTTCATTCGTGATCATCATACTGTTAAAAGTAAACAACTGTGACATCGGGTTAGGAATTGAACTGTGTCCCCATAAACATGTGTTGGAATCCTAACTCCTGCAGGTAGGTCCCTGTTGGACATAAGGGTTTTCTTTGCTATATTGACGAGGCTGTGTTATTTTCTTAGTGAGTAGAAAAGTTTGGTCATGACCTACTCCTAAGCCATCTACATATGAAAATAGAAGTATTTAAAGAGAATATCCTGTCTTTCCTCTACTGAGTTCTGACTTACAGTGCTCTATACCTGTGCCAGCACCTATCATGTCATCCTTGGAAGCTTTTTTCATTTGTCATAATTCTAAATTTTTTGACCAGAAAGAATTTGACCCTTTGTTTTAGATGGAGCAATCATAATCATTTGTTCAGTAACTTTTGCTGTTCATAAAAACCAAAAAAAGCTAAGTTCTTTTAGCGTCAGGCAAATAAGTAACAACAGTTGAGTTGAGCTCTGGAGGTTTAGTGGTAAGTAATATGCTGCCAGCAGAAGGGCACCTGGTTCGAATCCACCAGCTGCTCCCCGGGAGATGGCCAGTCAGCTCTTGTGCAGTTCCTGCCACTGAGAACCTGGTGTGGGTCTGCTGTGGGTCATGTCTGACTCTACACAATTACACAACAACAATTAAGTACTGGTAGTTTCTGGCTTAAGGAGACATTCTGTTCTGATGTCTCTGTCATGACTCGATTCTGATAATATAAATCAACTGCCTCTTCCCCCTCTCCTAGTTTTTATTACTACTGTCTTTTGTTATCAGTGTCCGTAAATCTGAGATTTGTGCATCAGAAACATTACATATAAACTTAAAAAACATATTTTAACATTGCATATGGTATGTGGAACTCTGGTGGCCTTGTGGGTAAGAAGTTGAGCTACCATTCCGAAGGCAGATTGTTCAAACCCACCAGCTGGTCCAGGGGAGAAAGACAAATCATCGGGCAGTCTCCTCCCAGGTGACTTACAGCCTTTAAAAACCTGCAGGAAGCAGCTCTGAGTTTGTTCCATCCCAGTGGCACGTAACAACAACAATAGAGTACATATTACTAATAATATGTATTAATTGTTGTTGTTATGTGCCGCCAAGTCACTTGTGACTCATAGCGACCCTGTGTACATCAGCCCTAAACTCTGCTCTGTGCTGTGCCAATCTCACTGTCTCCGACACACCCATCCCGATTACCCCAGTCACTGAATCAGTCCACCTCATAGAGGGTCTTCCCCTCCTGGACTGTCCCTCCACCCTCCCAAGCATGACCTCCCTCTCCAAGGACCGGTCCCTCCTTGCAGCATGTCCAAAGAATGCCAGTCGAAGCCTCAGAATCCTTGCCTCCAATGAGCAGCCCAGTTTAACCCTCTCCAGGATGAACTTGTTAGTTTTCTTAAGAAAATGAAATGGAATGCATAAAGATCAGCCTCTTAGGCATTGAGTGAGGTGGTGCTGTCTAGTTTGAATTAGTCATATGATCTGTGATGCCAGGAAGGACAAATTGAAGAGAAATGGTGTCCCATTCAGTGTTAGGAAGAACTTTTTAAGATCTACCCTGTTGTGTAAATGCTATGATATGATACCATCCATACATATACAAACACATGTACAAAGAGCCAGGGCTAGAAAACCAAAGGGAAGAGCATGCTCGGCATTTCTCAGGCTGAAAGAACTAACGAATAAATGCAAACCTCGAGAGGCAGCACTTGGGGGAGTCTGTGGGCAAAATCATAAATGATGTGATTGCAACAGAAGATGAAATGAATACACAGCCACTGTACCAAAGAGATTGCTCTGCCCTGAACCATTTCAGGAAGAAATATATGCCCAAGAATGAATGGTAATGAAGGAAGAAATTCAAGCTGCACGCAGGCATTGGCAGAAAAATAAGGACCCAGGAATTGATTAAGTACCTACCTATTTCAACAAAAAGATGTAGCCCTATATGTGCTAAGAAATTTGGATGACAGCTACTTGGCAAACTGACTGGAAGAGATCCCTTATTTGTTCCCGTTTCAAAAAAAAGGTCATGCAATTCAATGTAGGAATTAGCTTACAGTGTTGTTAATAGCACATGCAAATAAAATCTTTCTGAAGATGAGTCAGAAAAGCCTTGAAGAATGCATACATCAGGAACTGCCAGAAGTTTAAGCAGGATTCAGAAGAGATTGAGGAGAGAGGGATTGCTGATGTCACATGGGTCTTGGCTGAAGGCAAAAAAATTGAGGAAGATGTTTACTCATGTTTTATTGACTATGCAAAGATATTTGTGTGCATCGCGCAGATTATGGATGGCAGTAACAAGAAAGAGAATCCAAGAACACTTACCTGTACCCATAGGAAACCTATATGTAGTCCAAGAAGCCCTTATCCCAACAGAACAAAGGAATCCTGCATTGGCTTAAGATCAGGAAAAGTACATGTCAGATTGTATCCTTCCTTCATACCTGCTCAATCTGTTTGCTGAGCAAATCATTTCAGAAACTGGACTGTGTGAAGGAAAATGTGGCATCAAGATCGAGGTAAGACTCATCAAGCCCTTGCATTATACGGAGTATCCCACTGACTCCCAAAAGAACAAGCAAGTCGGTCTTGGAGGAGGTGCAACCAGAGTGTTCCTTGGAGGCAAGCTTGGTGAAACTGTCTCACATACTTTGTGCGAGTTGGTAGGAGACAGAAGTCTTTGGGAACAGACATCATGTTGTGAAATGTAGAGAGTCAGTGAAAGGAAGCCAGACCCTCAACAAAACGTGATGGCAACAATGGGTTGTTAGACGCCATTGAGTCCTTTATGACACATAGCAACTCTATGAACAGTGACTCTGAACCTTGCCTTATCCTGAGCCAGCTTCCCCATCTCCAGCATCTTGATTGTGAGGATGGCACAAGATTGAGCAAGGTTTCTATGTGGTATTCAGAGAGTCACTGTGAGTGCAGTTGACTCACTAGCATCTAACAACAGTAAACACATTATAAAAAGCTAAAAAAAGGTTTACGTACATATATAGAGTCATTCTTGGATGGTTAACAAGGATAAGAAGGGTGGGAGGGGGAATAAAAATAAGTAAGTTGGGTGGAGAGAAAGACAATATACTGTCAGTGGTTGATTATGATGTTGTTGTGATGTGCCGTCGAGTCGCTTACGACTCCTAGTGACCCTATGTACAAGAGCCCCAAATCCTGTTCTATCCTGTGCCAACCTCACTGTCTCTTGACACACCTACTCCCACTACCCCAATCACTGAATCGATCCATCTCATCAAGGGTCTTCCCCTCTTGAGCTGTCTCTCCACCCTCCCAAGCATGATGTCTCTCTTCAAGTCTGGTCCCTCCTTGCAACATGCCCAGAGTATGTCAGATGAAGCTTCAGAATCTTTGCCTCTAAGGAGCTGCCCAATTTCACCCTCTCCAGGACAAACCTGTTTGTTCTCCTAGCAATCCATGCGATATTCAACACTCTTCTCCAGCACCATAGCTCAAAGGCATCAATTCTCTGTCTGTCATCCTTAATCACTGGCCAGCTGACACATAGCACGCAATTGTGAAGACTATGGCCCGGATGAGGCGCACCTTAGTCTCCAGCCTGACGTTGTTGCTCTTCAGTACTCTGGAGAGGTCCTAACAGCTGACTTTCCCAATGCAGTTCATCTCTTGATTTCCTGGCTGCTGCTACCAAGAGTGTTGATTGTGGAACCAAGCAAACTAAAACTGTTAACAATCTCAGTCTCTTCGCCATTCATAATGATGCAGCCAGTTGCATTGTAATGAAATGATTACATTAACCTATTGTCATTAATGCTATAAAACAAAATGTCTATGAATGATTAAAAAACTCAATTTGTGAACTTTCACAAAAAAATAAGTATGGAAAAGAAATGTGTATTTTCACCTATCCTCATTAACTTCTTAGGATATGATGCTTGTTTCCTCTGATTTGCGTTTCTGCTCTGGAAGCATTGTTGTTGGGTGCCCTTGAGTCTGAACTGACTCATTGTTGACCCTCTGGCGGCTTTTCAGAGGCAGGGAAATCACATGGGAAGAGAGTAGCCCATTCTTCTCCCTTAGAGCAGTTGGTGGATTTGAACCATGTTCCTTTGGGATTGCAGCATAGCTTTTTACCACTAGACTGCCAGTGTGCCCCTGGACCCCTTAGACTCTTTAATTCCCAGGTTTCTTATCTGTAGGCAGGACACTGTTGTCTCTGATTTGGTTTTTCTCTTTCTAGCTAAATGTAAGCCCTTCGTAAGTATTTTTAAAATGAACATTCTTGTATTTTCAGATATTGGTAAAAATGCAATAAATGGATAAAAATACCAATGTTTAGTGAAAAAAAGGCATTTGCTTATTTTAAAAGGCAAGTAGAAAAAGCAGCACAATTAGACAATGTACTGTTGTTCAGCTTCCATAAAGTATTTCCCAAAAGAGGAAATGGTGAAATTTAAATAATTGTTTTTGTGTTGTTGTATTACAAAGATAGTATTTTTCTGAGATCATTAATCTAGTTGACACACCAATCTAAATGGTTTTTAAGCATTTATTGAACTGTCTAGAATCAATTGACATCCTCAAATCATAGAGCTCAGGGCATGATGGGAAAGATTGGAAGGCAGTATGAAGTAAGAGACGTTATTGAAATTGTTCAATTTGCCATCTGAGACAAAATACATACATTAAAGAAGCTGAGGGCAATTTAAAGTACCCTATTTAGTATAGAAAATTGTGGCATTCAAATGATATGAACTGAAAGTAGTAATAAAAAGGAATGAGGTTTGGTGTGTAAAGAAGTGAATTATGGTCTGATTTTTTTTTTTTAAAGGGTGTTGAGTACCTTTTGCCAGGTGGGTGAGGAAGGCACTTTTGGTCAAGGGGGTCACGTATGAAGGGACCTGAGATGTCAGGCATCGCAGCAGAAAGGCAGACAGAAGCACTTGTCAGTTTAGAAGCAAAAGATCTTATTAGGAAAAATGAGTAAAGCAATAAGGCATGGTACCCTGGAGCTTCTTAGAACTGGTGGAGGAGTCAGTGAGGGGGACGAACTCTGGAGAGTTCATACTGACAGTTGTATTCTGGCAGCTCGAGGGAGGACAGAATTATAGGTGAAGTGTGGCAAAGACAGACTGATAGAACCACAAAAAAACACTAAGTTGCTGTAATCTTTAGAATTTTGTGATGACTTACCTCTTAAGCAGGAGGAAATACTATAGGAAAACATGTATCAGAAATTTGAGTTTGATTTAGCCATACCTTCTTCTGGAGAAGAATTTTAACTTGGGATATAAGATGATGATAAGTTTAAGATCTTGGTAGGAAATTTCTTACACCATTAAAACAATGAGTTAGATAATCTATTTATGGGACTCAGGGTTTTAGAGTATTGTGGGGGTTTGTTTGTTTGTTTGTTTTACATATGTGGTGTTTATTTTTCTCCTACAGCTTGGAATCTGTGAGTGCAACGTGTAAACAGCTGAGTCAAGAATTAATGCAAAAATACGACGAATTGAAGAAGATGGAAGGATGTAACAATGAGTACAGAGCAGAGATTAAAAAAGTAAAATTTTGCGCGCCTTAAAGTGCAAAACTTTATTTATAAATAAATTTGTAAAATACATTATGTTGTTGTTAGGTGCTGTCAAGTTGGAATTATAGCTGACCCTCCAATGGGTTTCACGGGCTCTTAGTCACAGGGGAGTAGATTGCCCATCTTTCTCCAACTGGTGGGTTCAAACTTCCTGCTTTTGTGTTGGCAAGTCCTTACCCCTAGGCCACCAGACCTCCCTAATGCATTAGTAGAGGTGACTTGTTTAGCAAGAGGAAAATGTAGTACACTTGCTACTGTGGAGTGGCAGAGCACTTGGAAGGGGCTTATGGAAAAATGTCTTTTCTTTTGAATCTCCAGAGATCTCATATGTAGCTTTTCAAGATAATGATAGTCTTGAACTCTAAAACTTTATTTGAAACATCTTTTAGATGAAAAGCTTTCCAATATTTTCTTAAATATTAAAAGCTTCATTTAATACTTTTTAATTGACTAAAATTTGCTATAGATATGTCTTCCTTCTGTGCTAAAGTATATTTATATTCCTATTGGCTATTGTGTATAGATTTATGTCTTCATTAATGGACCGAGATGTTCTGTTGACTTAGATGTTTAAGATCTTTTTTAAAATTGTTATTTGAAAGACAGTCTACAAAGCAAATTCCTTTTCATTCAACCATTTATATAAATTTTGTTCTGTATCACATTCATTTCAGTACCCACAATGTAATCACATTTTTTCTATTCCCTCCGTGTAATTCTTACTTCCTCAAATCCTTCTACACCTCTTTGTGCCTTCCCTTCCTTTAAAATTATTGTGCTGATCACCCCCTTAACTGAATATTATCTTTTCCTTCACCTGTCTTAATAGGTCTGCTATCTATTACTTCTTTCATTTTACTTCAAGCCCTTTTCTTCCTCTTTTCTGTTTGTTGTTTATTATCTTCTGTGGACCAAGAAATCATAAGCAACAAAATTTTGCTGTTCAAGAAAGAAAGAAAGAATGCTGTAGGTAGTATTTCTTTTACTCGTTTACAGTAGTCTGGTGGTAAGAAGCTGCGCTGCAACCTCGAAGGCATGCAGTTCAAATCCACTCACTGCTCTGCGGGAGAAGGATGGACAGTCTCTTCCGTGTGATTTACTGTCTCTGAAAACCCACCGGAGGGTCAGCTGTGGGCCGGTCCCAATTGATGATACACAACACCAGCACAGCACTTTAATAACCCGTCCCTCCTTGTCTTGAAATCTGATGACACAATTGTATATAACCACCAGGCCCTTCCTTACATATGTGCAGCTTGAGAAATTGCTAATATCTTGCATATTTAATCAAGAGATAGTTTTACATCTTGAGATGTAGTGAAAACCTTAACTGCTAATGGGTTTTTCTGTCTGAAATCCTTGATCTTGTTCTCATCCCTTGCTTTTCTGTCTCTGTATAGTTGAAAGAACAGATTTTACAAGCGGAACAGAGTTACAGTTCTGTCCTAGAAGGAATGAAGGTTGAAATCGCCCAGCTAACCCGGGAGCTGCATCAGCGAGACATCACGATTGCTTCCACTAAAGGTTCTTCCCTAGACTTGGAGATGCGGCTCAGAGTGGAGATACAGAAGGCGGAGGAGAAAGCAGTGGAGCACAAGGTGGGGCAGAACGACAGCTTGCATCTAGAGGGGTTTTGTATTTGACTGAAAATCTTATAAATCTCTGTGGCTTTTCAATCATCCGTACACATTTTCTTTTCCAACATTAATTACAGTTGGTTAATGTCTGATCAGTCCCTTAGTGTACACTGCCTTTCCCTTCACCCAGCTTATGTATTTGTTTTCATTTTCCTCTCTCTTTCTTTCTGTCAGCCACTCAAGAATGGGTCTATGTGTGTGTACAGTTTTTCTTAGCTTTTTATAAGAATAATTTTATACCAGAATAGTCCTTTTGTGACTGACGTATTTTACATAAGCAGAATGTCCTCCTGTGCACCTATGTTAGGCAATGTTATGTGAATTCCTTATTGTTGTTTAGTGTTGCATTGTGCTCACAGTTTATCTGTCGTCAGCCAATGGACACTTGTGCTGTTTCCATCTCTTTGCTACTATAAATAGTGCTCCAGTGAACACGGCTGTACATACATCTCTCATGTCACAGCTCTTATTTCTTTGGGATATATGCTGAGTAGCAGCATTGTTGAATCAATTGCTGTTTTCATTCTCAACTTTGTAAGGAAGCACCACGCTGCATTAATAGTGGTTGCACAAATGGGTGACCCTGGAGGACATTATGCTGAGTGAAATATCTCGGTCACAAAAGGACAAATATCGCATAGGGCCACTGTTGTAAAATGAGGTTGAGGGAAGGCAGAGAAGGAGGGAAGGAATGATGTATATTGCATTGAAACAGATGAGGGAGAGAACTGTTTAAAAGGGATATATGATCGGGTATTATTGTCATAACAGGAGTCTAGAACAAAGGCTGCACAGTGGAGGGGACATGGAGGGAGGGATTACATAGCAATGAAAGAGTTTTTCTTTTACTTTTCAAGCAGAAGAGTGAATTGAGAAGGAGGGGGTGGGCAGGGAGAAAAGTGCAACAATGAATGACTGGAAACCCCAAGTCTCTGTCAACTTTCATTAAAATGAAAAAAAAAACAAAAAAACCCAAAATAGTGGTTGCACACCGCAGTACTTTTCCATTAGTGTATGGGAGTTTCTGTCTCTCCACACCCTCACCGACCTTTGTTTGTGATCTTAACGGATTTTGTTCTTCTTTGTGATGTAAGATGATATCTTATTTGCGTGTTTCCAGTATCTAAAGGGAGGAGCTCTGCTGGTTTAGTGAGGACGTGCACGGCAAACCCAAAGGCATGAGAGTAGAATCTCCCAGCTACTGCACAAGAGAAAAATGGCTTATGCTGAGTGACCTAACTCAGTCCGACAAGGACAAATACTGTATAAAACCATTATTGTAGAATGAGCATGAGGATCCAAGGCGGGGGAGTGGTGGAAGCTGGAAATACAGGGGAGAGCGTGTGGTGTGAGGGGGAGGGTGTTCATTGAAGGGTTGCACATGTTGATGGCTGGGTGGGGTAAAGGAAATGGGAAGGGTGTTTTGTGGAAAACAGTGTGTTCAAACTTTGTAACTAAATCAGATTAAAATTAAAACAAAAAGAGGATGATGGGCAGTCTCGTTCTTTGTGAAGACCCACTCTGGAGGGTCAGCTATGAGTTCTGACTCCACAGTACCTAACAACACCACCACCACCAACAGTAGCTATGGGGTGCCCTTGTCTACAGTGAGTTGTGCTACTCACCTAACGGTGGAGTCTCTCCGCCAGTTCACATCCACCAGTGGCTCTGTGGGAGAAGGAGGGACAGTCTCCTGTGTGATCTGTAGCCTCCAAGAGCCCAGCTGAGGGTCAGCTATGAGTGTGTGTCCACTCAGCGGCCATCACTGAGGTAACAGCCAGTGAGGTCTTTCGAGTGGTGTCGTCCATACCTTCCAGGTAAGCTCTGCTTCCCCGCAGGCTGCACCTCTCCAGTCCACCAGCAGGTCCTCGGGAGACAGGGGAGGCGGTCTCCTCCAGTGTGATCTGCAGCCCTGGACACCCAGTGGAGGGTCCGCTGTGAGGCTGAGAGCATTGAGAGAGAGGAGCTAATTCTCCTGAGTGAATGACATGAATTATCTCCGTGTGTCTGTTGGCCATGGCCGTGTCTTTTTTAGTGGAATGTCTTTTCCTGTTCTATGCCCATAATTGTGTTTGTGGTTTTTTTCTTGTTGAGCATTTGGAGTTTTGTATACATTTTAGAGATATTCCTTGTTAGAGATGGCATTGCCAAATGATTTTTGCCAATGTGGGGGAATTTTTTTGAATAGATCTTCTATATCTCTGATGAGACTTACTTATAACGTTTTTAGCTTTCAGATGAGTTTTGTAAATGATACTGTCTTCTTTATATCCTTCTCCAAGTTCTCTTCGTTAGTGAAGCTCATCCTTCTGATTTTTGTGTGGCAATCTTGAGCTCTGCTGCTTGACTCAGTCCGTCAGTTAGGTCAGTAGTCTCTTGAGGAGTCCATGAGATTTGCTATATATAGGGTCCTGTCTATCGTCTGCAGATGGAAGCAGCTTTACTTCTTTGTCTGTTTGGATGCATTTTCTTGGCTTATTGCTCTGGTTAGGACTTCTGATATAATCTTGAAAGGGGTCTGAGAGAGGGTATGTCCATTCTCAACAAGAATACATCTAGTCTCTCTTTGTTCAGACTTACAGCTGGATATTGGGTTTTGTATGTATGACCTTAATTATGTTGAAGAAATTTCTGTTCCTATTTTATTGAGTGTTTTTATCTGGAAAGAGTATTGAACTTGGTCAAATGTGTTTTCTGCCTCAGTGAATATGATATGGTTGTTTTCCTTGTTTTATTGATGTGCTAAATTACACTGATTGTTTTTCTAATGTTGGTTCATCTTTGCATCTCCTCCTCTCTCTCTGTCTGTCTCTCGACACCAAATCAGAATCAAGTCGTAGCTGGCCCTCCATTGGGTTTCTGAGGCCATAGGTTGCCTAGGAGACGGTTGCCGGTCTTTCCCCCACGGATCTGCTAGTGGGTTTGAACCATCAGAGGGGCGCAGCCTTGGAAGGAGCAGCACCACGCCCTATACACTGAGCTGCCAGGGTGTGAGGGGCACTGTGACCTGATATGCCCTGGTATGATTCACTCCACAGAGGGTGCACTGTCCTAGATGTGACTGTGCCGTGTGGTCAGCAGGGTTATCTCCAAGGGTTCAGTGAGAGACAAGGACCCACTAACTCTGCGCCTGGTTGCAGGCTGGACACAGCACAGTCCATAACCACTGAGTGTGGAGCTGCATCAGAGATGCATTTGATCGACGTGTTGTTGTTGTGCACCGTGGAGTCGGAACTGACTTACCGCGGACCCTCCAGCAGGTTTTCAGAGGCAGTTAATTGCACAGGAGGAGATTGCCCATCCTTCTCCCGCGGTTCGGCTGGTGATCTCGAACCACGTGCCTTTGGGATTGTGGTGCAACTTCTTGCCACTAGGCCACCAGAGCTCCCTATTGATGTTCCACTTGGCTGATTTCTTCTTTCTTTTCCTCAGGAGATTTTGAGTCAGCTGGAGGCGCTCAAGTTAGAAAACCATCGTCTTTCGGAAACAGTCATGAAATTGGAATTGGACTTGCATGAGGTATGCAAACAGAAACGCGAGTTTTTATACTGCCTAAACCTTTTGAAAAAGTCACTTTCTAAATATTGATAATGTAAGAGTATAGCAGTGAAATGATCCCCTTACACTTTCTCAAGTGAAAGGCAGTAACCCAGGGTTGGCAAAGAGCCACGTGAGACTCTCTTCCAGCAGGAGGAAGCCGCTTCTCATGTGCGGAATGTGATAAAATGCAGGGCCAGTTTGTGTTCTGAGTGGAGAGAATGTGTGTGGAGGACCTGGCCTAGTGCCTGGCATTCGGTAAACCATGTACGGCCAGCTGCTGCTGCTGTATCTTACGCTGTGAGGGGTTGATTTTTGGGTTTTGTTTCCCCTAAAAGATATGTAACGATCTCTTCCAGTGTTCCCCTGGGACTGTGAATATGACTTTTATTTGGGAATGGTACCTTTGCAGTTGTCTCCAAGAACCTTGAGCCCATTGTTACAGTCACTGTGTCATTTGATGGTCTCCACTGTGTTTTGCTGACACACCACCTTTTTAAGCACGATGTCCCTCTCCAAGGACATAGTGATGTGCTTGTTCATGATCTCTTTTTATAAAAAAAAATTATTATTATTATTAATTGTAATGAAAATTTACAGAGACTTTGGATTTCCATTCATTCATTCATTGTTGCACTTTTCTTTTTGCCCCCCCCATCTCTTTTGATTATAAAGCAGTTAGTTTTTTTTAAAATCTTTACATTCTTTTTCTTTTGCATCATCTAGTTTTTCATTTTTAATTAAAAAAATCATTTTACACAAGAAGTATGTTGTTTCACATCAACAAAAAGATGCAATTCCATTTCTTAAGAGATTATAAATTGTAGTCTCCAGCTCAACCTTAGTGAGAATGAGAGTGGATACAAAACAAAGGGAGTGAGAGGTTTGAAAAAAAAATAGAATTTCAGTTGTAATTATTGGACAAAACACAGAGGTATTTGTGCGAGTGTCCAGATTGTTGCTGTTTGGTCAAGTACAGCTCATAGTGACCCCAGGAGAGTGTCCTGTCCTGTCCTGTGTCACCCTCCTCGTCCCTAATATAGTTGTAGTCTCTGTGTCAGTCCATCTGTTAAGGATCTTAGGGTCTTTCTCTCCTTTACTGACCCTCCACCTTTCCAAGCGTGATGTCCCTTTCCAAGGAATAGCAACATACCCAAGTAGGTGAGACCACATCTTGCCATTCTTGACTCTTTCAATTCAATTTTAGTTTTATTTCTGCCAAATACAATTCATGTAATCAGATGTTAACCTAGAACCTTTTAATATTGAAAGCCTTTTGGTAGGCAGGGCAACAGGCCTGCCTTTAAGAGACTTAGAGACCTCGTCAGAAAGATCAGGAAAGTGTATAAGCTCCTGTGAAACCAGAAAGAAACATGATTAGAAAAGTGAGTTAGAGAACCAATGTGGATATTCTTTCAACTAATTTACTATAGAAGTCTCATAATTTTCCAAGTAATCCACCTGATCTGTAGTTTTCTGATCCAGGGCAAAAGCCTGAAGATTGTTGAAATGTATTCATTTCTGCGCTTTCAGAGATTGTTGAAATGTATTTATTTCTGTGCTTTTAGAGCGTTACATGCCTTCAAAAAGATGCACAGCTGTACAGTGCCCCCTGTTTGTACTACTTTTAACTTCACAGACTGCAATACAGATGCTGAGGTTGGAAAAAATGAGTTTAGATGAGTGCTTTATTTCCACTAGACAAATATATCTTTTGGGAAGAGATGAGTCTTCAATTGTCAGCAAAAAGCCTAGAAGCCACGAAGTATTTTACAGTATAAAAAACATTTTATGAATTTTAAAGAACTTCTGCATTATAAAAGACAAATAGACTAGAGTAAAAGTAATCTATAAACAGACAAAAGGTTCATATTTATACCAGTATATAAGTATTTCTTACAAAGATAATCGGAAAAAAAGAGAATTTAAGAGAAATAGTGGGAAATGATATCCTAGATAATTCATAGAAGTCTTGGAAGTATTCCATAGAAAGAAAGCTGTTCAGCCTCCCTAATAATCAGAACAACTTAGTGTTTTTAACTAATTGGATTGACAATAATTTTTTTTACAAACAAACCCATCACTGGCAAGAATGTAGGAGCACAGGCCCTCTGATACTTTGTGAGAAGGTGGACCAAATGGCCTTTCTGGAGGATACACAGTCAGCTTCGGCATTGTAAAATCTATGTGCCCATGATCGTCCCGCACCACCTGCTTGTCTGATTTGATGGTCATTGCTGATAGTTCTCTAGAAAGGCCCTATCTGCTGCATTCCCAAAGTACCCATCCCACAGGAGCAAGTGTACAGGGAGACCCCGGGGGAGCGGGGGGAATGCTTCTTACGCCTTAGGGTATCCTTGGTAGCGTCCAGAAGTTTGAAGCAAACGAAATGTTCATCTGTAGGTGGTAGGTAACTGTGGCTTTCTATCCTACGAGATACTGCGCTGTCATGTCACATGGCAGATGCAAACCTGCAGTGCCTCCTGCTCCTTCCTCCCCAGATCCCTCTAAACCTATCCTGACAAGATTTCTCTTAAACATAAAGTCATATGGATAAGGTTGGAAGAGACAACAGGTTAACGTTTTATTAGACAGTGGGAGCGGATAGTTGGTAGTGTTGTTATGCGATGTCGAGTCACCTGTGACTCATAGTGGCCCTGTGTACAACAGCCCTAAATGCTGCTCTGTCCTGAGCCAACCTCATTGTCTCTGACACACCTACCCCTATTACCCCAATCACTGAATTGATCCATCTCATCGAGGGTCTTCCTCTCTTGCACTGTCTCTACACTCTTCCAATCATGATGTCCCTCTCCAAGGACTGGTCCCTCAGAACTTGCCCAAAGTATGTCAGATGGAGCCTCAGAATCCGTGCCTCCAAAGAGCAGCCTGGCTTCACCCTCTCCAGGATGAACCTGTTTGTTCTCCTAGCAGTCCATTGTATATTCCGCACTCTTCTCCAGCACCACAGCTCAAAGGCATCAATTCTCCTTCTGTCATGCCCAGTCATTGTTCAGCTTTCTGACACATGTGTAGTTGGTGGATTACTATAAATGCCCTGAGAGAGTCAGCTCTAAGCCAGTCATGGTGAAAGCCTGATTCCCACCCTGAATCCTCTGGAAGGCTAGAATCTGTGAGGACCTGATTGGAAGAATCTTCTCAGACAGTGACTGTCTGTTCATGTTTATGAGTGGGACGTTCCCAGGGAAGCTTAAACCAGACAATTCCCAGAGATTTTACTCTGTTTCTTTTCTCCGGAAACTCCTTCCAACAGTGGCAATACTGTGTCCTTTCCTTGCTCAGCTGTGTGTGTGCTTCTACTCAGTTTTTATGTCACCCTTCACATGCATTTGTCTGTTGTGTACTGCTGAGTCGGAACCAACCCATAGCTGACCCTCCAGTGGGTTTTCAGAGGCTGTAAATCGCACAGGACAGGGTTTCCCATCTTACCCTTAAGCCACCAGAGTTATCAATAAACTAATAAAATATTTGATTAAATTTTAAAAGAAGTCTGGCAAAGTCAGCTCACATTCTTTCTGTCTCTCTCTGCTATATCTGTCTGTCTCTTCTTTCAGTGTCTCTGTCTCTCTCTTTTCGGTGTGTGTGTGACAGTGTATTCTGTGGTGTCAAACTCTTAACTGGTTATGATCCTTTTAGGCTTCCTTGCTTTTTGAAGGTACAGTATGATTAAGAAGGATTGTTAGGAAGTTCTTTTGAGTTTTGCCATCAAAGCAGATAGGATGACTTTTGCCGATGAGTACTGGTGTTAAGGCTCCAAGCTTGGTGGTGTGGTTCTTGGTGCATCGTCATGCTCTCAAGCAGTCCGAGTGCCTCCTGTGTGTCTGCTCTACCTGCCGCCCCAGGAGAAAGGCGAGCCGTACCCTCCCGCTAACGTTCACGGCCTTGGAACCTGACAGAGGGTCACCGTGAGGGGGGCCGATTCAGTGCAGTGGCACTGGGGTAATTGGGGTTTGAATCTTCTTTTTTTTTTTGTTTTGTTTTGTTTGAATCTTCTTAATCATTAAATGGACAGCTCTGATAAAATAAATTACCACAGTGTAAAAAACTGACAGTAGTTTAATTCACATGTCCCTTCAAATGGTTTTCTTTGGAATTTTAGCAGCATTAACAACTTGTTAAAAGATGTTGTTACTTACTATCACTACTATTCATAAATATTAAAGTGATTTTTTTTAATGGCCAATTCTGTGAAACAGTTTTTGACCAGCTAATCTTTAAAAGGAGTCTTCACAGAATAAGCCAGACATCAGTTTAAACGATAAAGAGCTGTATCATAATTTTATAGAATATTACTGGAAATATTTTGTCATAAGAAAACAGCTGGTCCAGCCTACCATTCCCCCTTCTACCCGCTTAGTTCCTGCACGAGCAGGCAACACCTAGAATTGATGAGAAACGAAATTTATGATCATAGAGCTGAGACCAGATCAGGGTAGTAACTCCTCCTTTGTGCTTCCGTGTTGCTTCGTCATATCCTAATTTATTTCACATAAAGGGTTGGGGTCAAAGCTCTGCCAACGTCCTTCGATATTTCAAACAGGAGAGTGTTTGGCAGTCTTCCTGCCAGGCAGCTTTCCTTTCCAGAACCTCTGTTGCTATTTCTTCTCCAGGTAGATCACTCGGTTTTCTCCTCTTGGTGCCCCAGGCGCTTCTGCCATGAAGAAGAACCCATTCCTGCTCTTTTCTTTCTCAGCCTCTGGTTCTCACTTGCAGCTTTCCTTCTTCCTGGTTCTACCTTGCCCCCAGCTCTTTGCACATTGGCACATCAGGAAAAACCATCCTGCATCTAACCTACGTTCCAGTTTACACTCAGGAACAGAACCCCTTTTCTCTGGTCTCTCAATTTCCTGTTAGTTCCTAGAGCACCAAAGACAAGTCTTCCCCTTTTTCCAAAGTAAAACCAGAGGTGAACTCAGTACAACAAAAATAGTAATTCTAATAATGCATTTTCAACCAATAGTATCACAGATATCAAGTATTCTTGTGCAAATTAAGTGACTCTAGTATTCTTTTTTATTAGGCAAAAGGGATTTCTCTAACAGATCTCCAGGAGAATTATATTGAGGCATTAAATAAATTAGTGTCTGAAAATCAACAACTGCAGAAAGAGTTGATGGATACCAAATCTAAGCTGGAGGTCTCCACTCAGATGAGTCCCCCCGAAAAGGACAGGATTTTTAATGTGGCTTGCGACAGAGCTCCTGGGTTCAAGAATGCTGAGTTCAAGTAAAAATTTCTTAAGCATTTATTTAAAATGTGTATTATTGTAATATAGCTCTCATTTTGTTAAGGGTGATTTCTGAGGTACAGAAATTGACTCTTCATTAAAGCTGTCTTTGTGTTTAGTTCTGAAGTACGGTATGTATAAGAAATGCTGTTTATGTTAAAAATTGGGGTGGGAATTAATCCACGTTTATAAAGCTTTAGTTTTAGACATTTTAGGAATGGGTACCTTAATTTCCCTGAACCTTTTCATGCTGCCTACCACCTCCTACCCTGCTTGTCTTATAAGCAGTAGAATTTGGCTTTTTACAAAACGCTTCTTAGTATTTTTGTCAAGTACATTGTTTTACCATAAGTAGTAAGTGTTCTATGGAAGAGGAGGGTGGACTTCTTCCTCTGTGGCCTGTGGGGTTTTCTGCAAAAATCCATGTGCTGTCACCCAAATCCCACCCTCAGATGAGATGAGGCACCCCTCTTCTGTGCTGCCATGTACACAGCCCATCTACCTCTCCACACCCTCACCATAAATCTGCCAGCTGATGCCCTTCTCTTGCTAAATGAAAACACAGTAAGGACAGAGGCCTAATGGAGCAGTTAGATATTTGGAGCTTAAATTAGTAAAATAACACGTGGACTGAGCAGGCTACTCACGTTTGAAATGATAACTTTGATAATTAGCCCAATTAGTTTAAGTAGATCTCTGATCACATTTCTTTTATTCAGGAGCAAAATTACTACAATGTCTGTCTGTTTTGTTTTTCAATCTGCTATCCAGGCCAGCCCATGGCCATCACAGACGGGATGGAATAAAGATTGAGTTCTACAAATCAGGCCTTCTGTCCTCTCCAAAAAGACACACACTGGAAAGCTTAGACTCTGTGTCCAGAGCCCTCAGCGCTCTGAGCCCTCGGAGCAGCCCTGACAGCTCCCTCATTTCTGTACCTTCCAACTCTCTGTGTAAATCTGAATCTTCGCCTTCCATGCCTGAGACTGTGTCTGAGATGATGCATGACCAGGAAGAGTTTATATCTGTGGTATGGAAACTTTATGATTTTACTAGTTTATTGTTTGCTTTAGCTTAATTTGATTAGTTTAGCCTTTTTTTTTTTTTGAGGAGGAGGAAACTGATTATTTTAAAAAGGTTTTGTTTTGCTTTTCTTACTGATTGTCTGTTGTACCCTTGTTCATCCTTACGTATTTCTGTCTTGATTTTAGTTATGAGGACACATTCAGCTATGGTCATTTTTCAGAATGCGTCGCGTTCTGAACTGTAACTTAATCTACAGAGATTTGGCCATAACTGCTTCCTGCTCCGCTTGATAGGAGAATTACTGACAGTAACACCCGCCTGGCCCTCCCTCAGCTGCTCCACACACAGCACACAGACAGGTGTACACACCCCTGGGGCCTCTGTCACACTCATCACAAGACAGTGAGGCGTTAGGAAGTACCACCTTAGCAGGAGACCCGACACACTCACGTGGCTCACTCACATCTCTCAAAACAAAGTGATACAGAGACAGCGTCACAAAGTCTCGGAGGCAACGCACAACTTTAAACCACTCAAAAATTCAGGATGAGGTGACACCAGAAAAAATGACTGAAAGAAACCATGTTTTTATGGAAGAAAATCAGTTGGAGCTTTCTGGTCCTAATAAAGGAGATTTAAGTGCCTTTTGTGGATTGAGGGGGAAGACATAGAGAGGGTATAATAAAAACAAACCACTATGCAATACCAAATAGATAAAATAAATGGAACAATACAAAAAGAGCAAATTGAAACTCAGAGTATGAAGACTAAAATGTCGGAAATAACAGTTTAGAAGAACAAAGGAGCAGAATTGAAGCAGTGGACGGAAGGACAAATCCTTTGTTACTAATCTCTTAGAGGAATGATCAGAAAAGGAAGCAAACTAAACCAGAAAAAACCGTCTGGAACATCATCAAGAGGAATGACTTAAGTGTGAGTGGCAGTCCAGACGTCCAGAACAGGAAGAGACAAAACAAAAGCCTTCCAGAGAAAACAGTTGAAGATTTCCTGGAAGAAAAGTTCCCAAATATTGTGAAAATTTAAGAAAATACACATTCAAGAAGCCGAGAAGACTCCACGCAGGGCAGACCCCAAAAGAAGAGCACAAGCACATATCATCATCATGTTTTTCAAAATAAAGTAATAACGTAAACAGATAAGAAAGAAAACACAATGTCCCAGAATCTTAGGACCCAGCAGAATCAGTACTCAGAGGCCAGTTTAAAGCAGTAAACACATCAATAAAATAAGAAAGGGCTAAAAGCAACACCTTACGCCAGCATCTCTGACAATTAGAAAAAGAAAGAGCCAGCAAAGCCTACAGTCTCCAGAATAAAAGGTATATGAAGGGCAGGAATAAGAGACATAGAAAGCAGAAACAGCTGGAAGAACTAACAAGATTAGAAGTTGGCTCTCTGAAAGGAGTAATCAAATCGACAAGCTTCTGGCAAATTTAACAAAGGAAGAGAAAAAGATACTGTAACAGGAATAAGGTAGGAATTGGGTGATGTCACAACAGAACTAAGGAAAGCAAAAAAGGGTAATTGTAATATTATGAAGAGCTCTATACTCCAGCGGACTTCAAAATCCAAAGGAAATGGGCAATGTTTTAGAAATTCTCTGCCTGCGTAAATTAACAAAGAACAGTGGGAGGATATTTGAACAGACACATTACAAAAGAGGAAATTGGAGAGGTCATAAAAACACTCACAGCCACAAAAAGTCCTGGCCCAAATGGCTTCACTCGTTAATTTTACCAAGTATTGAGGGAACACATAGCCATCAATTCTACTCAATTTATTGGAGAATATAGAAAGATAGAATACTCCCAAACTCATTTTTTTTTAATTTTTATTTCCCAAACTCATTCTTTAAACATAATCCTGATAACAAAGCCAGGCAAAGATACTACTCAAGAAGAAAATTAAAGACCCTTATCCCCTATTATTTGGAAGGAAGAGTGGCCTCCACTTCCTAAACAGCATGCCTCCAGAAACTCTGTGAATTTTGATAAATGGCAATGGTTGTGGAAGGGCTTCAGGCATTTTGTTCAGGGGGTTGCTCTAAGTCGTGTTTCACTCGACGGTGAACAACAACAACATCTCTCATTATAGATGTAGACTTTCTACATCTCATAATAGATGTAGAAATTCTCAACAAAATCATAGTCAGTGGAATCCAGTATCATATAAAAAAAATCAGCATAATCATGTGAGATTCATACCAGGTATGCAAAAATGGTTTAACAGAAGAAAGACAATCAATGTAATACACCACATCAATAAAAACAAGCAAAAGAACCACGTGATCATGTCTGTTGATGCTGGGAAGACATTAGATAGAATTCAGCCCCCTTCCAGGTAAAAGCACTCAGCAGAATAGGAATCGAAGGGAAATTGTTAGATATGATTAAAAGTATACATACAAAACCAATGGCGAACTCAAGATGGATCAGAGACATAGAAGTAAAACCTAAAAGTATAAAGATCAAAGGGAAAATGGCAGGCAAATTTAGGAGCCTTAATCTACAGCTTAAATAGACTATCTACTAGAATAGAAGATGCAGTCAGCAGAGGATAAAGTAGATGATGGGACCCCCTAAAGATTTAATCCTTATGTACATCTAAGATTTCTCCAAAAGAGTAAAGAGAGAGTCTATAGACTGGGAACAATATTTGCCAGTGACATATCTGACAAGGAAGGGACCCATCTCTAAATGTACACAAAACTCCAGCACCTCAACCAGAGAAAGACAGCTCAGTTACCCAGTGGGCAGAGAACATAGAGACACTGCACATGGCCAGCAAACACAAGAAATGGTCAAGATCACTATGAGCTGTTAGGGAGATACAGACCAAATAATGAGATGCTACGTCATCCCTCCAACAGTAGCAAAGTTCACTAAGACCTCAAGCCACAAATGCTGGGGAGGAGGTGGCGAGACTGGAACTCGGATACACTGCTAGTGGGGGTCTATGGTGCAGCCATTATGGAAAGCAATTTTACTCTTCCTTAAAAAGTTGGGAACAAAAATATTCTTTGATTCAGCAATCCCACCATTAGGTCCCATCATTAGGTATACATCCAAAAAGATGTGAGAGCCACAACATAAACAGATATATGGATATTGTTACTGTTAGTTTAGAGAAGCAGTAAGTAAATAAGGTTCAAATCTTTTGTTCATAGGTTGCAATGAGTTGTGCTCAATGGGCTGGCAGTTAACAACATTACTGTTACTATTATGTTCACTGTAGCATTGTTTATAATAGCAAAGAGATGGAAACAACCTGAGAAAATGTCTAAGAACACCTGGTACATTCACACAGTGGAGTACAATGCAACACTTAAAGAGTGATAGTCCACTTGTGAAACACTGCCCAACATGGGTGAATCTAGAGGAAAGTGTGTTAACTGGTGTAAGTTAGTCACAAATGGACAATTATAATCTAGTCTAAGATTCCTGTTATGAAAAACTGAGGACAGGTTTACACACAGATTCACTCCTGGATGATTACCTGGCATGTGAAAGAAGGGCAAAGGGACTAAAAAATTGATAAACAGGTAAGTCAAGGCAAAGGCAGTAGTAGTAGAAGTATAAGAGGTTGATTGTACATTTAGTAAATGAATTACACGAGTCAGTTTCTAATTAATGTTATAAGGCAGAATGTGTATGGAGATTGCATGAACAACCATTATTATTATTTGTAACTCCCTAAAAAAGTTTAAAAAAAAAAAAATCTGGATTCCAGGAGAGTTGTGAAGCATGTTGTAGTGTACGGTTGGTCGGGTCAGAACCGACTCCTACCTGACCCTCCAGCGGGCTTTCAGAGGCAGTAAATCGCACGGGAGGAGACTGCCTGTCTTTGGAGCAGCTGGTGGATTCTAACCACGTTTGGATTGGCAGCACAGCTAAGCCCCCAGAGTTCCAACAATATGAGGCTTAAGCTGGGGAGGGAGGGGAGGGGAAGAATGGCATAGAGGTAAAAGGGGGTCTCCAGAGGTGGAGCAAGTGCAGGTAGTGTCCACAGTGTGATCCGGCTGCAGGATGGGAGCTGAGCACAGAGACCCCTGTTTCTGTGACCTAGACTGCGGTACAGACCCCCCCAGCTTCTGCCTCTGTCCTTCCCGCCTTACACTTCCTGTCCCCAGCAGGGCCCGACACCTGTCAGCATTCACTGTTACTGCCTTTTAAATGTGCCGGTAAATTTCTGGAAGGTTTCTTTTTTCACGATGAAACAAGGAATACACAAGCCTTCTTCATCTGTTAATTATGAGATTCTAAAAAGTCAACTTTTTTTCTTGTTTGGCATCCAACCTGTCCTGAATGAAACTAATGATGATCTTTATCGGCTTTGTGCTGTCTGCTGTGGATTGTGGTGAATTTTGAGAAATGAGTATTTAACTATGGGATGCCGCCTCAGCCTCCCGTGGGTCACCGTGTGATATATGCCCTTTTATCGTCCTGAGACCACAGCGTCCCCAAGTTCCAGAATACATCTGGACCACAAGGGTTTCAGAATTTTGAAAGAGAAAAAAGTACAGATTTGTTACTACTGTCTGATTTGGTGTTGGCAGCTTTCCTGTGCTTTAAAAGTAAAGGCACGTTGACATTAAGTGAATTTGAAATAACAAGTACCAAGTATACAGGGTTCTGGAACATTAAAGGATGTACCAGTGTGAACTAAGATATTCTTCAGGTGAAATATCCCATGTCTCTGCAATACTTTACATAGATCTTGGATCGGAACGATTTGTTTTCATTTTTACAGAGACTATTATCATCATCACTTCTCTTGTTGGGATGTGGTCTGGGTGATATAAACGCTTTATGCTTGACTGTAAACCAAAAGATGGCTAGTTCGAGCCCACCCAGCAGTACAAGGAAGGCGAGAGCCCGCTGACCTGCTTTCTTAGCAGTGACAGCCCAGGGCATCCCCAGTGTCCAGTGCCGTCCTGTAAGACACGTGGGATCACTGTGGGTTGAAATTGACAGCAAGTTTGAGTTTTCTTTATTTCTCCATTAGGATGAAGACAAATGTTCATTTAGAGGGAAAACTGTATTTGAGAGGGGGGGAAGGAATCCAACAACAAACCCCTTTTGATATTTCTAGTTAGACAATACCATAACTAGTTTGCCTTGGAGTTGAGCTTTTCTCCTTATTAATACGTGTCTGACGTGTCTCTCCCCTAGTGTGCCTTGCCGGTGTCCCCCCTTGGATCCATAGCTACAAGATTTTTAGAAGAGGAGGAAGTGAGGTCTCACCACATTCTGGAACGCCTGGACGCTCACATTGAAGAGCTGAAAAGAGAGAGTGAGAAGACAGTGAAACAGTTCACAGCTCTAAAGTAGCCTCTTTAGAAAAATCACAAACTTGGAAATAAAAGCAAAACCCCATGTTAATTGTCGTCTGGAGTTGCGGCTCTTTAAAAACACGAATATATAAAAAGAAAAAAATCATAAAGATTCTACATAGTGAAGCAGCTGTAAAGAAATCTGAAAATTTTAATACCTTTTCTTAGGCATTTTCACAGTGCTAGTTTATTTGAAGGACTCGTCCAGCAGTAACTTGTAAGGATAAACCTCTTTGCTAGACATTTATTAACTGTCTACTAATTTCTACTAATTAAAGATTTTATGGCACATGTTGGAAATAAAGTAACTGCAAGAGCTTCCTTTGAGAAGTGCATAGCTGAAGCCTGGGTTTAAGAGTCTCATTGATCCTTGTGGTCCAGTTTTGCCTCTTACTATTGTTAGGTCCTGTCCAGTTCAGCTCTTAGCGACCCTATGAACAGCCAACCTGAACCCTCCCTGTCCTGTGTCACTCCGTCTGTGTCAATCCACTCTTCTCCAGCACCACAACTCAAAGGCATCGATTCTTCTGTCATCTTTATTCATTGTCCAGCTCTCTGCTGCGTGATTGAGAAGACCATGCATGGCCTGACCATGACCAGGCACCTTACTCTTCAAACTAACAACATCGCTCTTGAGCATTTTTGGAGTGGTCCCTGACAGTGAACTTGATCAATGCAATATGTCTCCCAATTTTCCTGACTGTTGGTACCAAGGATGTTGATTGTTGACCCAAAGAAGGTGAAATAATTGACAGCTTTAATCCTTTCTCCATCATGCGGGGACTGTCCCTCTCGGCTCACCTGTGACTGGCTTTTTATCTCTCAGGCACTCCAAAGCTCCCTCTTCAAAAAACCTGCCCTTCAAGGCCCTGAGTTCCTGCCCTGATTTATGTTCTCTGGAACATAAGCTCTGGAACTGGGTGCCATCTGGAATCATTTTGTTTCTTGATTTATGTTCTTCTCATTGTCTGTCTTTACCACTGGAATTTAAGCATCATGAGGATAAATAATCCCGAGAGCGTAACTGGCGCTAAGAAGATGCTCGGATACCGTAAAACAGCAAATGCACGTGCTCTTACCTGCCCTTCTCTGTGTCTTATCTATGTTCTTTCCTGGGGTTCACCCTACCTCCTCTTCCACACCCTTTCACCTCCCCATAAAATGCCGCACACCACACTCGTTTGAGTCCCCTGTTCTTGGTCCTTGGCGCAGTCCAGAGGAAGGGTTTCTCGTTACTCTCAGCGCTCTGGGGGTCCTCGGCACTGCTGTGTCTCCCCCCCACAGAAAGTAGCTCAAGTGCAGCCAGGCCCGACTGGGTGCCGAGACTTTGCGATGCCCAATTCATTCTGCACACATCCTGGATGGCTGGAACCACACTGTGCTGAGTGGTAAAATGGGGATAATAAACAGTGGAGCCGAGTGCGTCAATGGGGATGAGGATGGCACAGGAGAATACCTTTCCATGGAACCTCATTTGATCTCCACTCATGGCGGCAATGAAGGGTTGCACTTCTGATTGGCAAGGGGATTGGTTGATGTGCCCTGAGTCCTGTGGCCAAGCGAGCGTGGGTGAACTGTATCACAAGACAACCCTTCTGGTCACCTTTACCCTGACAGCTCCATGGTCTTGAGAAAGCTACTATCCCCACACCTCAGTTTCCTTATCTATAAAATGAAAATAAAAGTACTGCCACCCACAAAGATTTCTGGGAAGCTCATACACATCTTAGCTCAAAGGCATCAATTCTTCTGTCCTCTTTAGTCATTGTCCAGCTCTGAGATGGACAGCAAGTGGTTGAAAAGACCATGGCCCAAATCAGGCATGCTTTGATCTCCAAACTGGCGTCATTGCTCTTCAGTACTTTGGAGAGAGGTCCTTGACAACTGGCTTTCTCAATGCAGCATGTCTTTTGATTTCTTGACGACTGGTGCCAAGGGTGTTGATCATTGATCCATGTAAGATGGAAGTGTTAACATGTCAATCTTTTCTCCATATTGGCAGCACCATGATAGATGGAGAAGAGACAGATTGTTAACAATTATAGCTTGCTCAGCTCCACAATCAATACTCTTAACACCAGCTGTCAGGAAATCTAAAGATGAATTGCATTGGGAAAATCTGCTGTCAAGGACCTCTCCAGAGTGCTGAAAAGCAATGATGTCCGTCTAGAGACTAAGGTTCACCTAGTCCAGGCCATGGCCTTTGCAATTACTTGCTGTGCATCAGAGAGCTGGACAATGATTAAGAATGACAGAAGAATAGATGCCTTAGTTGAGTTGTGGGGCTGGAGAAGAATAATATACCATGGACTGCCAAGAACACAAATAGGTCTGTCTTGGAGAGGGTGAAACCAAGTTTCTCCTTGGAGGCTAGGATTTTGAAGCTTTGTCTCCCATATTTTGAGCACATGGCCAGGAGAGATCAGTCCTTGAAGAAGGACATCATGCTTGAAAGGGTGGAGGGACAGCACAGGAGAGGAAGATTCCAGATGAGATGGATTGATACAGTGACTGGGACAATGAAGGTAGGTGTGTCAGACATAGTGAGACTGGCTCAGGACAGGGTAGGTTTCTGAGCTGCTGTACATAGAGTCGCTATGGGTCGCAGGCAACTTGACAGCACATAACAACATCATGATGTTGCCTATTGTTTACAGCCTTCAGGATTCTATGAGTCATTTCATCTCTGTCCTACAGAGCTGTGATGAGTTAGAATGGAATCCAAGGCCACACATCATCTGAGCAACCTTGAACTATCTGGCTACGAGATGAGAGGAGCTTGATGGCATCTGGAGCTTTGAAAGCTCCTCTTGTTTTAGGAGTCAGCTAACATGTTTCTCCTCCAATGACTGTCAGTTCAGTTATTCACTCATTCATTAAGCATTAATCATTAATCAGCAAAACTCTCATCTTAGAAAATGGCCTTTCTGCTATCCCCTGAAGGTATCTTCAGGGGTGCCACTACCCCACCTCCCTCTGTGCTCCAGGAGCCTCTGACACGTATGTGTGTCCGACTAGCACACCTGTGGCTGTGGCAGTACGTATCCAGACAGCCCTCCTGCGGCAGAGTGGATGAATCTGGACGCAGAGAAGCAGGAGCTCAAAGCCACACTTAGCAGCTGTGCGCCCTTGGGCACTTTCTTCATATGCAGGATGCGCACCACAATCTTTTATTCAACAAAGCTGGCACAGGGTCAGTTGGGATGCTGAGCACAGAAGAGATTCCCAAACAAATGGACTCTCGAGTGGTGCTGGAGAAGCGTATTGAATGCACCACGGACCGCCTGGAGAACAAATCGGTCTGTCTTAGTGAGGGAACCAAGTTTCTCCTTGGAGGCTAGAATTTTGAAGCTGGGTCTCACATACTTTGGGCACGTGGCCAGGAGGGGCCAGTCCTTGGAAAAGGACATCATACTCAAGGGTGGAGCGACAGCCCAGGAGAGGAAGACCTCAGATGAGATGGATTAGATACAATAATTGGGACAATGGGGGTAGGTGTGGCAAAGTCAGCGAGACTGACTCAGGACAGGGCAGGCTTCAGAGCTGCTGTACATAGGGTCGCTATGAGTTATAGGTGACTTGATGGCACGTAACAGCAACGAAGAATGCTGGTGGTATAATGTTAAAACACCTGTTTATTAAAAGGTCAGTAGTTTGAACCCACCAGCAGCCCCCAAGGAATAAAGACCTTGCCATGTGCTCCTATAAAGATTAAAAATAAATAAAACCTCAATGCCATCATATCTGATCCAACTCTTAGGTCACCCTCTAACAGGTTTTCTGAGACTGTAAATGGCACAGGAGGAAATTGCTTGTTTTCTCTCAAGGAATTGCTCATGTGCTTGGACTGCCAGAGAGTTCACCTTGGGGTTCACAGACAAGTCCACCGGATTGTGCTCTGGTAAAGATTATTGTTGTTAGGTGCTGTCGAGTGGAGTACAACTCGTAGTGGCACTGTGAACAGCTGACCTGAACCCTGCTCTATCCTGTGCCGTCCTCATCATCTGTCATCTGATATATTAGCGCCCATTGCTGAAGTCACTGTGTCAATCCATCTCATTGAGGGTCCTCCTCTACTTTGCTGACCCTCCACTTTTCAAGCATGATGTCCCTTCCCAAGGAGTAATAGTCTTGCCTAGCTACATGTCCAAAGTATGAAAGACAAAGCCCCACCATCTTTGCTTCCAAGGAGCACTCTGGCTGCACTTTTCCCAAGACCTGTTTGTTCTTTTGGCAGTTCATGGGCTATTCAGTACTTTTCTCCAACACCACAGCTCAAAGGCATCAATTCTTCTGTCATTCTTATTCATTGTCCTGCTCTCTGATGCATAGCAGGTGATTGAGAAGACCGTGTCCTGAATCAGGCACACCTTAGTCTTCAAAGTGTCATCATTGCTTCTCAGCATTTTGGAGAAGTCCCTGACAGTAGACTTGCCCAGTGCAACCCATCTCCTGATTTCCTGACTGCTGGTATACCAAGACTGTTGATTGTTGCTGTGAGCAAGATGAAATCAGTGTCAGCTTTTGTTGTATGAGATCATGCTGAGGTAGATTGACTCAAGGCCACACAACAGCAGCTGGAGCTTCTCCACCAAAGAGAGTGACTGTGGGAAAACATAGGCTCAGGCAGGGACCCTGGGAGTCAGAGGAGCTGACAGACAGTGAGAAAGTGATGTCTGTGGCGAGCTGGAGAGCACCTCCTTCCAGGAAGGAGCATCTGTAACTCTCATCCGCAGGGAGGCGTTAGCTCACAGGCTCTTCGGCAAAGAGCCAGCCAGCTAGATTTTAATATGAGCCTGACCTGAATGAATATATCATCATCAGCTAGTGTTTTTGTTGTTGATAGTTTTTTAAAATAAATTATTTTATATTGATTTGCTTACAAAGTTCATGTGCATTGTGTGTCACACTATTCTTCATTCACACTATTCCCGCACATTATGTTTTGTAAAATTTATCATCATTGGACTATGCCCACCATCGCTCTGTCTTTTCAGG